TTTGTTCATTTGCAATGAAAGTTGTATTTACATTTATGACAATAAATTGAAAGATTGATTCTCGCGCTATTAAACTGATAATCCAACATTTGCCAACATTTCAACATTCGTATTTACTCACATCTAGCCTGAAGGGATAATTGGTTAAGATAGTTTTGTGAGTAGGTTAGAGGATGCTTTGAATTTCAATCTGTTTTTGTTCAATTGGTTAGATTCATTAATCAAGCTCCATTGAGTTTGCACAGATTAAATTTTTGGCACCAAAATGGTTGAAAACAAGAGTCAACTGAGCTTGGGTAAAGCCTTTGAACCTTTACTTGAAAAACTTTCTCCTGTTACAAGATATTGTAATGAAATATTTTTCAACAAATATTATTACTTAACAGTTTTGTAAGACATTATAAATATAACAAAAGTCTGAACCTTGAAATGGAGAAATTCATGAAAAATGTTGAGTAATAAGCCAAAGATATCAGGTTCGAGTTGCTTTTTTCAGGCTCAAAGGTTTCCATCAAATTTTAGATTCGCCTACGAGATTAGTTCGAAGTTTGAAGGAAATTGACAGATTGTTTTACCCTGACATTGCGGCTGAAAATTCATTAATCAAGTCTTTCATTTTAATATTCATTTCGGTTCTCGGTGAATTGGATGAAAAGTTAATAATCATTGAGTTACTTTGCGTTATTGCTGTAACAAGAAACTAAGAAACTGTGACATTTAAAGATAATTAGTTCGTAATTTCAGAGTGATTTCATTTTCAGCATTGAACTCAGAATGAAGTTTGTTGATGATGAAAGCCAGAAAATATTCATCTTTGAATTGACAAATTTCAGAGATAATTTTGAACTTCAGTTTATCAGACAAAATTATGATTAATTCAATGTCTGATTTGATTGGATAGGCCTGAAAGCCTGCGAGAATTAGGAAAAATCTGGTTCTATGGGATCATTTTCGATATTTCGTTTAGTAACCAACGATTTTGAAAAAAGTATAAATATAACATTGAAATCACGTGAACATGGAATCGATCGATTGAAGGTTTTCTCTTTTTTAGTTTAGACTCTTTTTTTGTGCTTTTTGTTTGGTTGGCTGAAATGGGTTAAACCAGAATCCGGCAGAACATGCGATGTAGAATATATTCATTCATTGCTCATTGAAGGTATATAACACATATAATCATGGGAATTGGCTGAGAGTTTGAGGGAAAAAGAAGGAAAAAACTCTTGTTTTAGTAAAGAAACAACAAAAAAAAACAGTTCGAGTTGAATTGAGATGCTAAAGAAAGACTGAAAACAACAAAGAAATTAGCAAAATAAAGGAAGAAGAAGGTAAAAAAATAATGAAAAGTTGAACATGATAAAGATATTTTTCTTTTTCATTCTCAAGTTTCTCTTCATTAGTCTTCATCCTCGTACTTGACTATAACATGATTCACACAAGAACGATAATCTTGATATCGTTCCAAATTCGATTGCACAATCACTAGTTCCATCATGATCATCATTTCCTTGGCCTAATCTTCATCTCTTCATGCCCTTGATCATCATTTTAATTTTAACCATTCATGGGATAATAATGGGATAATTTTCAGGTTGAAATCAATCAATGTTATGAGAAGATTTAAAATACATTTTTGGACTTTTTGATCAACAATCAGATCGACATTTCAAATTAAGCTAGATTGATGTTGAGAAAAACCTTCAATTTTTGGTTAACATCGAGACAAGAGCAGACATAAGGAATGTGCCAGGTGAACAGGTAAGGCTAGGAAAAGGGTTAAGACGATAAACAAGACAAATAATTGTTAAGTTAACCTGTTGAATGTTGTCAATGACATGGGAACTTGTCAGTCCTTTAGATGATGAGAAAAGATGAAAAGTCACATTTTGCTTTGGTTACAAACGATTCGTTAAAACGTTGATAACCAGGATAATAATCAAGTGTACTTGATCAGGTAAACAGAATTGGAAAAGCACACTGAAAGTACCAGGTTGTGTTTAAAGGAATGGTGAAAAACATTGGAATGTAAATAATAGGAAATACTTGAAAATTGAGTTGAATTAAGGATTGAATAAAAATCTGGCAATCTGAATGCACGTGATATTCATCAAGTTAAATCTCGAGATAAGATGATTTACAAGTTGATTCACAATTGGATTGAAATGAGAGTAAACATTGAAACAATTAACCAATTGATGAGCACAAATCACTGGTCACCAAAGAGTGTCAATCATAAAATTAAACATGTTGTACGATGGAGACAAATCAAGATGAAAAGACCAAAACCAGAAAACAAAGTGTGTTTACCAGAAAAAAGGCATTCATCTTTGATATCAATGTTATTGTTATTATTTATTACTATTGGTAAGAGATGATAATGAAGATAATGAAGACGATGAAGAGATGATGTTGTTGTTGTTAATGTGTTAAAGACAGTAAAGGAGGATAAAGATGAAGATGTATTTTGATGATAGGCAAAAAAGAGGTTGGCAAAGAGATGGTTGTTTTAGTTTAAATGTAAAACATTGTTACTCTTTATCCTCTCTTCTCGCTCTTTCTTTACTTTCTCCTCTTTTTTTTATACACAAATATTTCTCTCTGTCTAATCTGTCTTTGCTTCTTTCCCAATCTCTTTCTATACAATCATCATCTTTATCATCTTGATCATCATCCTTCTCATAGTTTCACTTCTTTCCTTTCCATCATCATGAGGATGATAAAATTCTGGTCTCAAAATCTCCCAGACTCAATTAGAATGAAAGAGAAGGGATATTCCTCGTTCTTCATTCTCTTCCTCATGAGCTACGAAAAAAAAACATCCAACGATTCTCGTTCTTCTGCGACTTCTCGTTGGCATCTTATCGATCCACCAAGTCTACTTCAAACTGTTTCCCAATCACTCTTTCCCCTTCGTCTAGATCTTTCGACATCTCTCATCATCGGCCATCATCCTTCTTCCCCATTACAAACATCATCATTTGTCATCTTCTCATCCATCTTCTTTATCCCTATTTTTTAATCGTAACTACGCATAATCTTCACCATGAAGAAAAAAAAACTCACAACATTGAAATGATGAAAAGGTTTTCATTCAAGTCTGCTAAATTGTCTCACCTTTAGTCTAGTCTCTGACTCTTTCCTCTTCACCTTCCTCTTTGTCTTCCCTTTCATCTTGCTCTTTCTTCCTCTTCTCATAATATAATAAAATAAATTCCCAGATGAAATCCCTTGTTACCAACTTCGCCTTTCGTAGCTACGAATAAAAATATTATGTATTACTTTGGTTACAATATTTTACTTTTTTTCATCTTTTCTCCTTTCTTTCACCTTTTCATCTCATTTTGCTCACTCAACTTGTCATTAACCTTTACTCTCTCGTCTCTTCATCTTCATCCTCCTCCTACTCCCATTTCACCTCCCAACCTGAAAATTGGAGAGAAAGAAAAGAAAGACTAGTTTATAACATTGTATATTAATATTACTTTTCTTCTCCATACTGATCAGGTTAAACATTGTTTAATACAATGATTATTTGTATAAGCTTCAAGCATCTTTCTCATCATTCTCATCTTTCCTCACCTTAGAGCATCACCTAAACCCAAAAGCATCAATTGCGAAATTCATTGTTGAATCAATTTTTCAGAATATTTTTCAATCTTGACTTTCTATGGATTGGCTTGTGGAAGGTATACTTTGAAAAAAAAGGTTAATTAATTGTTTCGGGTAAAAATTAAAGGCCAAAAATAAAGCTGTGATTCATTGAGCCCTACGGACTAACCACTTATCAATAACTAATGACTGCACCTTATTCACGTTCCTCGTGATAACTTCGTCTTAACCCTTTCTTTTCGTCTCTGTCTTCATCATTTTCATCTTTTCTCGCTCTTCATTTTTTCAATCCTTTTTCTTCTCTCTATCTTAATCTTCCTCCCTTTCATCGTCATCTTCGTCTTTTCTTCAATTTCTTCTGTTCTCCCTCCAATTTTGGTGCCTAAGGGTTAGTAATATGATGGAGAAAACCGGTTTATCCAGAAAATTCACTGATTCCAGATAATATGAAACCAGTTACAGGTCGAGTGAAAACCTTAATTTGGTTTGGTTTACAGTAGAAACTGTATTCAAATAATAGCAATAATAATAATGATGATGTTAATAATAATCGCAACTTACAATTAAAAAGAAAAATTTTCTTCTTTTTCTTTTCTTTCAATCTTTTGCTTCACTGATTATTAAACTCGGCGATTATTTCAGCTAATCATTAACTATTATACCAACAAATTAGCAATGTAAAGTGGCATTAATTTTGAGCCATTTTTGCATTCTAATAATCATTGTATCACAATGATTGAAATTTGCGCCATTCTAATGTTCAGAACAGAATTCACAGTTGAATCCTTTTTTTACATGTAAGTGTTTGTTTGGCAGTCTTTTGAACTTCAACATGCAACTTGGTGCTCATGAATTAACATCAACAGTTATTATTCATGGATTTATCGTGCAATAAAACAATGTTTCTTGCATTAAATTTTGGCTTCAATGAATGACATTAGAATGATTTAAGATGATGAATGTTTAAGTTAAATTAAATTATCAAATTAAAACATTTTTGCTTGGAAGGTAAGAAAATTTCATTACCTGGTTCGATTGACCTGAATCAATAAAGGGTTAGTAGTGGTTATAGATTTAAGCAGAAGAGAAGAAATGAAGAAAATCATTTCTGACCTCAGTTTCTTATATTCATCAACATTATTATTACTCTGATTTATTTAGTTTTTTGCTTTTCTTTTTTCGTACAAATTCGGAAGTAATAATGATAATGTGTGTTCGTGTTCGTGTTCAAAGGTAGTTTGGTAATTATATACATTTTGGGTTAGATTTTTGGTGAAAAGGATTGAAAAGGTTAGAAAAGATGGTTGAAGAAAAAATTGAGAAAAGATTAAGATTGATTGGGATTGAAAGAGTTTACTTGTTGAAGATGATTAAGATTACGATCAACTTACCTAAAAGTATCTTCACCTCTACTTTATCATTTTGATTATGCTTTTTAGTCCAAAAGGCACTTTTAACTTTTACTTTGATTAAGAAACACTTGCAGTTGATTGTTGATTAATATGATAATCACAAAAATATATTGTAAAACTATCAATCCATACTCTTAACCAGTAAAATGGGTTAGGGTTAACACATGATCCATGAAGGGTGAGCTAAAACGGTAGGCTTAATGGTTAAATGTGAGTCCTTTGGGTTTGGGTTTAGGTTTGTAAGGTCTCTTGTAAAAAAACCAGAAATTATCAGCATAACCAAGGTTTACAGAGAGGCCAACACTTGAAGATTAATCGAGATGGAACCATTAATTCATTGGGAATTATAATGATTGGAGGGACAATTAAATAAATTAACTGTGTTCCAATACAGATGATGAAGGGTCCACACAATGGCTTGTAAATATCACAGGAAAATATGGTTAATAATTAATTTACAGAAGACTTTTTTCTTTCTGTTTACAACTTCCAGGTAAACTGCAGGTTGATGGGTAATGGTGATGATGACAATTAATATTATGTGTGTTCACTATTCTAATGGTGATTGGAGATTAAGTCACAAGTAAATTAATTTATCGATGTCCAGTGAATATTAAAAGGGTTGGTAAGTTGAAAGGCGCACAAACATGTGATGAACTTTACCAAATTATCAGCATTGTAAACGTTGAGTTGAGACACCGACTATTAACCATCGAGTAAATTAACTGATAATTTAAAGATGATCACCATTTAACGAGGTTACATCGACAATAAGATGAGTTAACACGATTTGGATTTCTTGTTCTTCTTCTCAAGCCAACACTTTTGGCTTGTTTTGTAGTTTCTCGGCCTTTTTGCTGTAACTCTTTCTCTCACACTCTCACTACTTGTTTTCAATTTAGGCTAATGAACACATTCAATAACCAGAAATGTAAATTGATTCGTAAGGTCAGATCACTATTTAGATGATGCGAGAAGTCCAACAACAAAAAAAACAACAGCAAACAAAAAGAAGAGAAAAAAACCAAGAAAATATTACTCAACTTGTTGTCATATTTACCCAATCAACACTGATTACTCTGAGTTTTTTGTTACTCTTTTTTCTCACTTGCTGGCTGGTTCTTCACTATTTAGCAGGCAAAGGGTTGGGCATGGATTTTTTACACTCAATGAGCTTTAGCTATAAACAAAAAAAACCCGGTTCGACAAGAAAACGACTTCAATCAAGTTTTCAATAAAAAACTCTCCAACGTTTGGCATTGATGGCTGATGCCATCTATAGTTACATAATACAATCATTATGCGTTTGTTTGCACGTTGTTATGGCATTCGTTTTCTTTTGTTTCAATTTGTATCAATAATTGTTACTAATTGAGCTCAATTAATTTAATTTTCCTACTAATCTTTTGGACGTCTGATTATCACCGCTGGAATCAAATCCTCGTTTAAATAGTCTCGATTAATATCTGACTTTTAGATCAAAGGTAAGAATTGTTTTATTACCATTTTATACTCTTTTGTTTCCTACAATATTCGTTAAGTTATAATATTATGTTAGCTTCACGGTGTAATTTTATCGATTAGTATGGATTTATTTAAAATTGCTAATATCAGATTTGAGTGTAAATAATAATATCAGAGTGTTAATTGTTGGTTTTACAGTATTCTGAGCTTATCGATACTTACTTGTTTCTTCTCTCGCTTTTATAAAATTGACTTTCTCTGCCATGTTTTATATTGTTGCTCGTTATATTTAATGCTTACCTGAGATTCTCTTGATAGTTGTCAACTAATTCACTTGATGTAACAATTTGTTGCTAACCTTGATGGTGTAATAATGTCGATGTCTGTGTTAATTATTCAATTGGTTGATTTACTTAATCGGCAAAACTATATAATGAAACAATTATTAGAAATGAAAGTGGTAAGCAGGCAAGAACATGTGAAGTGCTTCAATGTTGTTTCTAAGTTATCTTTTAATCATTATCAGTTTTCTCTCTTATTGCCAAAGAGTTAACTCTTTGCTTATTGCTACACTTGATGATTGTGCACATTCTGATGAAGTCAATGGCAAAACTAGTGGCTGATTTACTATTAAAATTTTCTAGTTCCATGATAGATAAACCATTTCATAATCTCATTGCTTCCCTTCATTAGCCTTTTCAACCTCTGTATCTCTAATCATTTTATCTGCATCACTAGATTAATCATCAGTTCAATTTCTCTCTTAACTGTCAACCGTAGTGAGTTTTATTGAATCTTATAATCGGTTAGTCTAAACTTCAATTATATTGGATGAAACGAAGCCTTGATGGCTAATATTGAGACTTTAAAGTTCTTTAAGATTAAAGCTCAAGTATCTTTGTGATTTAAGACTTTCTCTTCTAGTTGAGTTACTGAACTTGGTCAAGTCCGACTCTAAGCAATTCAATTAAAACTACTTTCTCTATTGTCAAATTATCTTTTTAATCTTAAATTTTTTTTTCTTCAGGATAGGATTCGGCTCAATTTTTTACCATAATTTTATTCAACTTGGTGCAATAGTCACATGGAGACGTGAACTCAACGCTATTCGATAATATCTACCATTTAAGGATAGGTTGAATGTACCATTACATCACAGCGTATCATCTAACAATGAACATACAACAATCAACAATTTATAAGGAAAAACATGTTACTATGGACGGGGACGATTAGCACTTCATTAAAATCCAAAAGTCCAAAGGAAATATTTGCTCAAATTTCTCACCCACCATACACCAAAACAATTGGACAAAATTGGAAATGAATTGAACAATTGCAATAAAATTTAAAATCTCAGATGAGATGGATGACGAACTGGAAATGGAAGTTTTATCTGGATTAGAAAATTAAATCCCATCAGATGTTGGAGCATTTTCTGCATGAGATCTCTACAAAGAAACTGGAGATTCAGTTTTTCTTAAAGTTATCGCTATAAATATATTGAGATGTATTCTAATCTCAATTAGTTCTAATCCATATTGTTCATATTAGATATAAATGCAGTACTTCAGGGTGGACTAGATAATTTACATCTTAACAAGTTGCCTACTCATATTGAATTGGTTTCTGTAGGAACACAGAAAAGGCATGAATTACAAGCTCAAAAGTAATGGAGGTAAAATTACTTGAGCTGGTTTAGTTTTGTATTTTTACCGATTAATTTAAATAAAATCTTTAATGATAACCATTAGCAGTAGCAATAAAATATTAACTAAAAAAATTCATTCAGTTACCTTGACCCTTACCTTTTATTACTTTGAATCATTTTCCTTCTGAAAAAAGCATCAGTATTATGTTGAAAGTCACGAAACAGATTTGCATCTTGGAGAGACGAGAACAATTAACTATTAACAAATTTTACTTTCACATTAAATTTATGTACATTTATTTTGTCGAGTAACAATTATTATGTTATTACATTAAAGAAAGCCAAACATAACAAAAAAACATTAATTAACAATAGATGGGGCGAATGAAGGATTTGAAATAAGGAAATAACAGAAGAGCATTAGATAAGCAAAGCCCATCAAGTATAACATAAGGGACAACTTTCTTTGATTTGATTCTAGTGAATTTGCTGAACTGCTTAAACATCGTAACTTATCTTCAACCGATAAATCATCACTCCATTTAGGTAATTTATGCTGAAACAGATCGGTTGCCGGTTGGCGAAATTTATCACGTCTACCCATTTTAACCGGGAACTCTTTGATTAGCCGCGTCTCTCTTATAATGGAGTAAATCCCTTTGTCTTTTGTGGACCACTGTTTATTAAATTGGTCTATTGTCGTGGTTTCTTCTAAATTTAATGTACAAGTGTTTATAAGTATCCTGAATTTACTTGATCTATTCATCATATTCATCTTAGACCAATGACTCCAATCCTGATTCAACAAATTTATGGTAATATCAACAGCTGAATTTGCCTTGACAACACCAAATCTAGGAGAAACTTGGTAATCGTTTGGATGGTTTGATTGAACCTTGAAACAAACTGATTTATTCAAATTGTTTTCAATTCTCAGTAATCCTGTGTAGCGACCTTTGATTAAACTGTATTGGAATTCAATTGTATCAACTGGTTTGACTGCAAAAGCGGTTGCTGGATCTATGACAACTTCATTATCATTCAAATCAACTTGCACATTATTCTTGTCTTGATAGTTAGTTCCTTGGAGCTCTTGTTCATCCTTTTCTGGTGTATCAAAATAATCTTCTGGTTCATTCCAATCAACAGTAGACAAGAATTCGTCAGCTTGATCTAGAGCGTCTTGATATACTGGAATAATCCTCTTATAATCGTCCTTAGTGTAACCATAACGTTCTACCAATTCTTCTATTGGCATTGAGTGTTTCGGAACTGAACAATAGTTGCGCTTACATTTTCCACCAAGATAATGAGGAACGTTTTCTGGGTCGATGTGTTCATAAATTTGATTTCCATTGACAAATTTGATCAGCTTGAAGTAATCATCGTTAAGGAATGAGAAAACCATCTTGCGGAAAGTATTCAATGCCCATGGTACATTAAGAACGAGAATGTATTTAACACCTGCCGGACAGTAATTGGCTCCAAAGTTAATCATAAACTTTAGATAGTCCCAATCAAGATTCCTGTAAGAAGCAGATGTCAAATCAAAAACTAGTGCATAGCCTTTAGCCCCATGTATACGATCAACTTTATCAAAAACATGGACAAAAAAGGCTTTTGTGTATTCTTCCAGCTCTGGGACTTTGCGGTGTTGAGATACTCGTATGTAAATTGTTGTATATCCTGATTTGTCTGGTTCATAAGGAAACACTGCTGATACCTTATAAAATTCAATGGGAAAACTGTAATCCCGATAATGGTCAAGTTTCACTGTACATTTACGCCATTTCATAGTTGATATCATCATATCCAGTGCTGCATCTGGGTTACAATGACGTGCTCGATAAAATCGGTAAACATAATGTAGATCCGTCATTACTCTTTGATAATCGCTGTAGATACAATTATCTGGGAATCACAATAAGTTAGTTTGAATCCAAAGAAAAGAAGTTGTGAAAATTATCAAGGAAAAGTTGGTTAATTAAGAAGACAACATAAATTGTTTCAAGCTTTTAAATATTATTGTATTCACCACCTGTTCAAACTATGGATACTATTTTCAAAGCTCTTACGTATTTCTCGATCTAAATATTTTTTTTCTCAAGCAAAGTTGAATATTTCAGACTGAACTGGCTTTGTAAAGTTAAAATCATCAATCGGTTTAATATATTCCCATTGTGGAATCTAATGGACACCAAGGTTGCACCTGGAATTAAAATTTGCATGGTTACTAAAACTATCCAAGCCTAGCTAGTATTACATTGTAATTGGTAATTATGCTGAAAAGCTAAGATTGATGAATCTACATCATACTTATTCAAAGATGGATCACAGGATTACCATATTACCTTTCTGGATTTTGAACTAACTAGATACGGCTTTCTGGTCCAATCACTCACAAGGGGAAACTTAAAAATATCAAAGATCACAATCTTACCTGGATTGGAGCGATATTCCTGTTCAAATTTTATTTGAAGATCCTTTATAATAGTTTGGGTTGCTGGATCATCGTAAGAAGCCATGGTAATGAGCACTTGCAATGGAACAAAACTTTATACAATTTTCAGCGAATGAAGAAAAGTAAAGATGTCACAAATTTGACTTTGAAAGTGAATAGTTTGGACAATTATTCGGCAACTATGATTCCATGTGTTGAAGTGAACACTATCAATGTACAATCAATTTAGCAAAAGGATAAATTTCAACCTGATCAAACTAGTATCATCTTTCAAAATAGCTCACTCAGCTTCTCCCTTGATCATGAATTACTTTCCACCAAACATTGAAAAAAAATTATTCCTTGTTTACCATGTTTAAGGCAACTTCGAAAGAGAGGGAAAGAGAAAGTTGTAAAGTCTAAATAACTCATTCGATGTATAAAAATACGGTTTACTCGTAAAACCGGTTCAACTTTTTAAAGTAAAAAGATAATAACTTTCCTCTCATTCTCATTCCCACTTTCACTTTCGCAGTTCTTTCTCATCGTCATCTAACTCTTCTTCATCATCATGATCACAATCATCATCAACGTTTACTTCAAGTTCAAACCTTTTTCCCTTTTCTCATCTCTTCCCGATCCATTTTAACCTTTAACTTTCAACAAAACAACAATGTTGGATATCAAAATGTATCTCCAAGCAGCTTAATTGCTCATTTTTATTATTTACTCAATTACATTTCAAATTTCCTTCAATTGTCAACTAGTCACGATTTAATCTCACTGTGGTCAGTCAAGATTATACTTTTGGTTTAATTAGAGGGAGAAAAATAAACTAAATTCATTCTGGACAATTAAAACTCTCACAAAATCGACACCTTTTCCTCATCACAATGCTTTAAAATAACATTTCTTTTGTCTTGATTACTTGATTAACCTTGCTGCCATTCTGATTTGCATCGCTATTTTTAACTGTTTACTAATTGTTAGTCAACAAAAATTTCCATCAAGCAAGACTTTTAAAGGTTCTAGCTGTTTACATTTACTAGATTACCAGAGGTACAGCAATTATACCATCACAATTGACTAGTGAGATTGAAAAGCTAAAATAATCTTCGTAATAAGATTTCAACATTTGAGTTAAATAATTTCAATGGCATTTAATTATTTCATGCCTCAAAATATTATAAATTTACATATTTGAAGTTCAAAATGATTTGATCTGATTTTGTTAACAATCCTTATTTTATCATTGCTTTGACTTTGACAGTGAAAATGCGTTTTGCTGAATATCAACAGGTTTTTTGGGTTAAGTTGTATTATTATTGAAATAACATTAATTAGACTTGTGTTACAATTGCAGGAAAATAAAGATGATAATAACACTAATAAAGGATAGTCTGAATGGTTGCATGTTTCTCGAGCTTTCAATGATTATGTTAATGGTCAAACTGTAAATTCATCTAAATTTTCAATACTTGTAATGAGTGAAAGAAAGTATAATTGTTATCTGTTTTCCTCTTTATGAACTTTCATTAGGAATAGATGGAAGTAAATAATTATTACAATCATACAGGTGATTAAATGATTAACTTGTGTGGATTCACATATCCTTAAGTGATTTAATTGCTATTTGTTGTTATGATACCAAAATGGATCCTCGATTCAACAGTTTTTTCCTCTTTTATTACGAATAAAAAATAATACTTTTCCTTTCATCTTTGGCTCAAATTGAATTCCCAATTCAGATTATCATCTATATCAGGAAATATTGGTTCAGCAATTTGAATTAATAAATTAAGCACAGTACAAATTAATCTATTCCTTTTTATAAATGAACTAAAAACACCTTAACTATCACATTTACAAAAACCTTTTCCTTAGCCTTAAGCGAAATTAACTGTTTTAGTTTAACAGTGAAATTTAATCATTTAACCTTGATTTTAAAGTTTATTTGTTTTATTTATTTTTCACTTATTTTGACAAAAAAAATATTAAAGGAAAAAATTTGGGATAACAAATTAATTGGACAAAAAAGATATAACTAAATTGAGTAATTTACTCGACTGAAATGATATGGATTATCAAATGAAACCAGAGTATTTCTTGTTCCAGGTAAAAGATTTCACGATTGATGATGACATTTCTTTCCAATGGTTATCATGAATATTTAATTGTGACAATTTCACGGTGCAATGGTGATAAACAAATGAACCAAATTGACCAGTTTGATAAACCTTGTCTCCTGTAGAGTTTCAAGAGAGGTTATTGACAAGCATGAGGTTGATGAGATGAATTCACATCAATTTGCGTGATTATGAATATGAACTTGACGATAATGTGGTCCAGTTTATGAATGAAAACAAAGGAAGGCTGGAGCAATAGGACACCATTATGAGTGACCTCTGCGTATCCTAAATTTATACAACTTGTAAAGATTCACTTCACTTGTTTACTTGAATCAGCAACAGAATTAAATTTTTAATAATTCTGTAACTGCTGAATGATGGACTGGTTGAAAGATAATCAAGGTGAACCACGATTAGAGCCGCTGACTATTTTTGACAGCCAGTTGTTGAATTCATTGGCCATTGTTTCGTCAGTTGGTGAAGTAAATGGTGATTGATAAATGTTGAAATTTGAATTGGGTTGACTGGGTGGACGATTAGATTTATCGGTAGTCATCCAAAGGATAGGGAAATCTGGTCTTCCGGGCATGTATTTGCTTCGTTCAAATAATTGTTTGGGAATCTCAGATCCAATCAGAACCAAACCATGAGCTTCAAAGAGGCAGATATCGGGAACGGGCAGAGTTGGTCGTTGGATATTCCAGAGTTCCACTTCGTTATTATTGTTGCAAGCAATTTCCAATATTCTCAGTGGACATAAATTTTTATCAAGCGAGAGGACTCTATGGTCAAGACCAGCAAGACGATTAGCGAAGTTTGTACAAGCTTGAATATTTTCTAAATTTATTCCAGTTATCACAATTTTAAATCGTGAAGGCATTCCTCACTTATGGACAATAAACAACTGAACAATTGGAATGTTTTTTTGCCAATAAGGTTTGAGGTTTGATTAATTGAAAGTTGATTTAGGAGCAATTTCAAATGAACTTGTTTTGTTTTCCTCTTCTTTTTGTTTTGGATCCAAAATTGAGTAACCAAGGCAACTTGGATCATCATTTGAGAAGATAATTTATCCAATCAGCAAATCGATTGGCTTTCGATGGACTTATTTAACAGGTGGATGGAAATCTTGAGCGGCAAATATTTCACAGTGACTTGTGTTGGTTTTGATCTTAATAAGAGAACCATAGTAATCTAATTGAATAAATTACACCATGGCTAGTTATCTCTCAAATTGAAAATTCTGAATTTTAAAATAACAAAAGTTAAATGCACTTTTTTTATTGTCAGTGAAAAATACACAAATATATAAGTGAGTTGAGACAACTCAAAAAGTTGAGTCCATGATTCCATTTTCGCTCCAATATAAATCAATATATTTTCTTGGCTTATTTGCGCATTAAAGCTGACTTTTTAAGTTGCCAAGAATTAAATTTGTTGTAAGCTAACTGCAATTGACTTAATAGATGAGATGTGAGCTGCAGAAGAGAAAGAAAGAAAACAATTAAATATTTAAAATTATTTACTATTTTTAATGAGAAAGTAGCTCTGTTTGGTTAACTAATATGTGTTCAATCTGATTATGCCATAACAAAAAAATACACAATTAAAATTGAATACTATCTGGAAAAATTTATCGTCATTTTAGATAGTAATTGAATAATCGATGCTATATTTGCAAAATTGGTCATTCTAAAAGCACGACATGAAAAAATGTTGTAAAGATTTAAAGTAACGAATTAAGTTTAGTCTGAGTTTTTGCTTTATGCTTAAAAGTCAAAATTGTATAAGTTAATGAACACTTGATCGTAATAGTAATTTTAATTCGGTCTCAACGAATAAAAATTTAAAAAAGTCAATCCCTCTGAGAAGAGGAAAAAGCAATTGCTAGTTTTAATGATTAAATACTGAATAGATTTTTCAGCTTGGATAAGAATCAAGCTTGGAAAATCTCTTCAATTCAGAATCAGTAGGTGTATAACAAAATAACTAATCACTGGGTGAATTGACTAGTGTCTTAACAATTTTAAATATTTAAATTATAAAATTAGATGATTTGGGAAAGAAATTATAATTTCATTTGATAATTTCTAGGTGAAGATGAATCAGGTCTTGGGTTTCCACTGCGTAACCACAACATGATATGAGGTGTAATGCCACAATCAGATCGATTTGTTTTCAAATTGACATTTGGTTTGATTGTATAAATATTTTTGTTTTTTTGTATATAAACATTTATAACAAAATAGATAAGATGGAAATAAAAATACTAAGTGAAAGACATAACAGAGTCAATAGCACTAATTATGAAATGTCCATTTCTTGAATTGCATACCTCTGAATCGTAATGGTCTTTCACTAATTTATCATGAAAAGCTTGGACTTTGGTAAATTGGAATCTTTCTAATGTAGACTTCATTTGACATAGTTTTTCCTCGATAAGTGGACTTGTGACAGGAAAGCAGGCCCAAAAGTGTCTAAGTAACTCATTACACGAGAAATAAAGTTGCTTCAATTGGCTTTGGATATCAGCTGGTATGACGTCTTTAAGGCTAGCGGTGTGAGTGTTTTTAAAGTACGCTCCTCCAGGAGATAATGCACTTAGAGCAGTAATAGCGGCCGGCGATGAGAGAGAGTTATTTAAAGATAACCGCCAATTCGTTAGAATATTATCTTGATGATAAACTGATTGTAGAAGTGTTAAATTGTTATAATGATTGTGGTTTCCTGAATCCTGTGTAGGTCCTTCGAGATACCTTTGCTTGTTACTAATTTTTAACATCTTAGATTCTTTTGTTGACCATGAAAGAGGATCGATTAACGCTTCGGCGTCTAGATCTTCTAATTCAGTTTTTTCCTTTAAACGTTGCTTCTTGACTCTTTTGATTTCCTCTGAATCATCTTCGATATGATTTTTACCTAAATTATTGTTTAAAGATGTATCACTAATGTCTTTTTCTTTATCCTTATTTTTCCCCTTAACAACGCCATTCACATGGGGAGTTGATGAGGTAGATGCTGGTGATGGAGATGAATGACCATTGACGGTGGCACTTATTTTACCCGTTGAGTCACTTTTACTGGCTTCTAAAATCATAATTGAATGTAAATTGAATCTTTTGATCAACGCTTGATTAGCGTTTGGTAAAGTTGAGCTATCTCGATCTTTTTTCGATTTATCCTCATTTTTGGGATCACTTGAATTATTTGTATAGTCAACATCATCAAAATAAGTAATATCAACAAATGGATCTTTTACACCTCTTCTAGCTGCAGTTTTAATATCTATCTCGTCTGACTTAGCACAGTCAGCGAAAAGATCTCCTTTTGAAGAACCAGATGAACCGCTAAAAACTCTATCACGATGGAAATAATGACTTTGAAAGAATCGAGTCCAAAATTCTGCTTCTGTGATTTTATGAGGAACATTTTCAAAATGTTTCTTTTTCACTGCTGGATATGTACGGAATATTGCTTCAATAATGTCTGTAGTAATGTTGTACTTAATACCATTACAGCCATCAGCTTGAGGCTTGATGTCCGAGAGGAAGGCAGCAGAAATTCCCACCATTTGTTCATTGGAGGAATGGAGATTAACAGCTAAATTAGATTTATCTAGAGTAGATGTTGGAGACAAATTTAGAGTTTTAATCAATTGTGGACACCTAATAGGTGCTAATTGAGTCCAAAATTCATCACTTGTGATAACACCACTAACAACCAAATCTTTATATAAATTAAACAGATCTGGATCCTCTTGGAGAATACGATTTTTTTCTTCTAATTCTTTGGAAATTTTCTTTTTAAACTTAGGTAATAATTGTTGTAGTAATTGTTTAACCATATCACGATCACTTAATTGTTTTTCTACCCCCTCTGGGCTGACAAAATGGTATGTTGTAGTGTCACCGGAATGCAGGACCAATTGTAATTGAACTTTCGCCTTTCCTTCGGGTGATATTTTCTGCATCTTAATATCCGCATATTTATGACTGATAGTGAAACAATCTTTACCATTCGGCATCCAGGCGATCCGAGCTTCCATGAGGTAAAGAGTTCCATCATTTTTCTTATTCCGGACTCCATTTACAAGGAGTAATATATCCTCAGAAGAAGTTGTCATTAACTGGCTTGATTAAAACTTAGCTTACAACTAAATTAAAATAAATAATGATTAGAGATGAATGGAAAATAGTTAAATCACAAGGAAAATTAAGAAGAGCTACAAACATTAAACCACAATTATTTACCCAAATTGTAACAACCTATTGGATATCTCCCCCATTACTAATGTGGCGGTTGCACCGCTAGAGTGCGTATACACTAAAGAAATGGAGCGAACTTCAAAAAATATCAAATGCATTGGATTTAATGATAAAACAATTTAAAAGAGAGTTGATTAACCTAATTAACTAATCTAAATAACCAGCACTATTAACCTTACTAGATGAATGAAAATGATAGCTTTCTTGTTTGGAATAAGCATTCAATCTTTCATTTGAAATGAAAAGATTAATATCTTGGATAAAGATTAAAGAATAAAATTCTATGGAATTTTTAAAAGGTAAAATTTTGATTTAAAACTGCGATAAGAATGGTGAATGCTAAGCCTTTGAGAAATTTCAGAATTAACTTGACCAGAATGATAAACCTTCAGTCTGAATCCTCAAAATAATAATGTTGCTTTCAGCGATTGAACGTTCAATTGATAATACAACATGCAACAAACTTTGAACTTGTAAGCCTACTGAGCCTAAAAATTAGCTTAATTATTGTCGATTTATATGATATAATACAACTGGGCCAATCTTTAAGCGTAATCAGGTAAATAAACTCATGCTGTGAATATAAATCTAACGGCCGTTTTATGATTGTTGATGTTTACACAAAAAAATATTGTTTCTCATCCATGAGTAGCTCTTTTTGCTTCTTGAAAATAACTGACCTGAAACGATTAGAAAATGAAAGTGACACACAGTTGAAGGAAGTCTTTTTTCCATTTTGTAAGTGAAAGGAACGAAATGAAAAAAAATTTGTCTTTATAGTTCACTGAATGAAAGCTATTTAGGAAATTGATGTTTTTCCTGAAAACTGGTAAAGCTCAAAAAATGAAAGCTTGAATTATAGATCTTTGATGTTTTTAAACATTGAGATATAATAATTTCAATTGAAAAAATACTGATATTGCTTCAGGCTTACAATTAATCCTTACCTTTGAATTGTTGAAAGAAACAAATCTCATATAACTTATATCTTTAATAAACTTCAACTCTCCAAATGGTTATTCAACTAATATTTGTTACATCATATTTGTTTATCAAACATTAGGTAAATTATTCCAATTATAGTGAATCGTGAAAGGCAAAACAACAATTGAAAAGACTGTAAATTAGGAATAAATTGGCTTTCATGCAGATTAAAGTGTTTAGCATTAAATACTTCAACACGAAACATCATGTTGTTTACCTTGATTGGAACACATATTTAACATTCCTTTCTCTTTCTGGTTTCAACGGTTACAATATATTCCGACAGACAGCAGCAAAGTTGCTTACAATAGTACAATGTTTTTGATGCTAACTTAACATTATGTGCCTCTAATCAACAATCTTAAACAAGTGATTTAATTTAATCATCTATTTTTTAATTTATTTTATATGTGATTTCAATTGTTAAACACCTAGATATTTTTGTATCTTATATTTTGAATTGTTCATCCGTCTCTATTTGCTGGTCTGTGAAGGACAAAAGGTCAATAGGATTCACAATGGAAACTAATCTGTTACAAATGGATAGTAAAACCATTAAAAAAAGTGATAAATATGAAATGTTGATGAGATACTGTAATGCAATCGAAACACAATTAGACGACGAGGAAGGCTCTAGATGTATTCATGAGCTCGAAAATTATTCTCGGAAAATTTCAAAATTACAAAAAGTAAGTCAACCTGGACTGTTATGAATGAGTGTAACTTTTACTTATTAACTCTTATCTTTATCTTTCTCTCTTTCTCTCTATCTCTCTCTTTTCTACATCTATCTTTTCCTCCTACACCTTTCTCGTATAAAATCCTTGTTTCTAGCTTGAATGTGAACTTCAAAAAGTGCATCAAGCTCACGAGGACTTGATACGATCGTCCGATAGAAAAGAAAAGTTGGAAAAAGCAATGCGTTTCAAGCTTGAGATTGAGATTAAAAATTTAAGAGAGGAAATCAAAAATCTTAGAGGAGAAAAGGAAAGATTGGAAATTGAATTGCAAGCCCAGAGGCTAACATTGGAAGAACAGCGGAACCATATCGGAGTTTTGGACAATGCATTAATGAACGCTCAGAATGATGTTGCCAAATTGGAAGGAGAATTAAGGAAGAAAATCGCTTTTGAGAAAAAAGCTACCCATTTACAAAACGCTCTTAGAAATATCGAATCAGCAAGTGAAAGGCAATCTCAAATGGAGAAGAGAGTACGGAATCATCTTGAAGCAGAAATAAATTCTTTAAGGAAACAATTGAATGGCTCTGGGCAAATGAGTGATGATAAAAAAGAAATCGAATGTATGAAGAAAACATTACTTGAATACGAGGAGAAAATAATCACGCTTGAAAATGAAGTTGCTAAATGGGAAGGCAAATATTTTGAAGAAAGCACCATGAGACACATTGAAGTAAATGCTGCATCGGCTCCAAAAGATGCCAAAATTGCTGCTTTAAAGCAAACATCACAGGAATCGGAGAAGATGATTCAAGAAGCTCGAAACGAAAGATTGAGACAAATGGATGAACTTCATGATGCGCATAAAAGAATCGCCCAGTTAGAAAGTAAAGTTAGAGATTTAGAGGCAAAATTAGCCGAAAAAGATGCCATGGTAAAAGTTCTGCAGCAGCATTCACGCGAAAAAGACGTTGTTTTACAAAAATCACTTTTAGCCCATCGAGCCACTCCAGGAAGACATACGAGATCTGTTAGTTCCATGGGACTGACAACTTTCAGCTGCTCTGGTAATACGGCTACTTTGACATCTGAAGGTAGTTCGACCTCTGTGAGTGAGGTAAAAGAGGACAATGTTCGTAAAGAAAGTGTTGACTTCTATACTTCTACTTCAACCTCCAAATCAAACACTCTTAGTAGTAGTGGAATTCCCACTATCAAAAGTACATCAAATAATCTCGTCACTAGTAACAGTACTAGCAGTAACTCTACTAATAGTACCACCAGCAATAATAGTAGTGGAACAAGCATTGCTAGCAATCATGGTCATCATAATCTCGACGAACAATTAAAAGAACTCGATAAGCGTCTTATCAGTAAGGTAAGGCATAAATATTTTCCCATTGTTGAAATGTTTCGTTAGGTTCCCTCATTTTGACTATTCATTAGATAAATGAAAAATTAAATAGGCGAAAAATATCTATCCCACTCTCATGTTGATTTTGTTTAGATTTGTGCAAAATTTCCCTTCCAAATAGATTGCAATTACAGAGCTTGCAAGAGTTCAATTACATTGAATCAGCTTATCCATCAGATGCATGCAAAACATTACAATGAACCGGTCTATTCATCTAGCAAACATCAGTAATCAAGCCTAAGATGTGAGATGACAATAAATGGAAAAATGCCATTTTTGCAATGAGACTTGAAGTATTTACGAATTGTTTTGTCAATTAAAGATTCTTAGTGTTATTAGTTTCTTCCTGAAAATTGAGTATCTATTACTTACAGCCAAGTTTTATCGATTTAATGTTGAAAATTCTAGATATTGGATATTTTGCATCATCTTATTTGGTTTATTTTAAAACACCCTCAATTTTTAATGCTTTGATTCTGCATGACAAAAAATGCTAAGAATCCTTGGACTAGATTTCTCTGTCACTTGAAAAATTCACTGAATATTCAGTTAATAAGTTGATCATTCAATATTTTTCTAAAATTTTAAATCGATTCATCCATAAAAATATTAATTTGATTTTTCTTTTTTTTATTTTGATTTAGGACTCTATCATAAGAGCTTTAAGATCAGAAAAAGAGAGATTCCCTAATCATTTTTGGAGAGTATGATTTTGGTTTTTTAATAAAGATGACACATATCAACCTTGGAAAGAAGATATTTTTTGTCGATGTTACTCAGGTTCCATACTGGAGATGAAACTTGATCATTTTTATGACCATTGTCTTTGGCTGATCGGAATCCGTCTAACGTGTGGTATTTCGTTGGAAGATCCACAATGACAAAAGATCCATATTATCACCTTCACCATCACCATCATCTTCATTTTCATTGCCATCATTATCATCATCATCATTGTTTATCATAATAAACAATTTAAAAGCCTTGATGACATTCGCATCGTCAATTCATATTCTCTGAAAAAATGGCCATATTTTATTGCTTGTTCTCTTTGGTGTTTACTGTGTAATTATTAATGTAAAATGTCTTACCAGAAAACAAAAATTATGTTGATAAAAGCTTCTTGCAATTTAAGAAAATTTTAGCTAAATTAGTGTAAAATTTGATTATAATTATCCTTTTACATAAATAATATTAAATATATATATAAATATTATACATATTATTAATATTATTACAGTTACGATCAAACAGACCTGAGGATATTTTATAAATTTTATCAAATAATTTGTTAAACAAATGGTTTGAATAACTAAAATGAATTGTAAAAATTATCCTCAAAAAGGCCATTCTCGTACTTGTATTTAAAATCATTTAGTGCCCTATTTATGTGCCATAAATTAGTATATTTATGTAATTGTACAGTTGATTAAATAAACGGAAAGAATCTTTTTCTTCCCTTTTCCACTTATAATGGACATCTTTTGTTCTAATTATCACAAGTGAAAGTTTGATTCAACTGATTGATCTCACAGTGAAAATCAACTTTCTGATGCTTTCCAAACTATCGTTTCAGGTCAACAAACACGACAAAACAACTTTCATTTTTCATTTGTATGTCAATCTGAAAATTCATCAAAAACGGTTTGAATAATATAAATAGAATGATTCATTAAGATTCACAATTAACTATCATATAGCAATTACCGAAATTAATGAAATGAAATCAAGCAATTCTGCGACTGTTTGCTAAAGCTTACAAAAATTTGTTCAGAGATTATATTTAATATATTCTTTGTATTTGTAAAGGTCAGTTTTACTTTGGGACAGTTTCTTCTTCAGATGTAAATGTCAAATCCAAACAATTAAATTAAATATTTCCTTGAATTGGCTTGAAAATAACTGATTTAAACATTATTTTTGGACGGCGCTTCAAGCGTATAGATCAGCTGATTGTAACTATGTTCTCTGTTTACTGTTTTCAATCACAATTATTTTTATCTCTGATATTTTACTGTCATCATTTTTTTCTAATGTTGGTGTCGACAATTTGTTTATTTATGATATATCTTTGTGTCTAGTATTATATAAATTATTTTTATTAACCTAAACACTTGGTTGACCTACCCTGGTCTTAAATAGTGTTGATCTCAAAATGATGGATCCAGAGTCTCCAGTTGAATCTGATGGTCATCAACACCACCCACCCTCAATGCTAGATGATGGATTACTGATTGAATTTGTTCGTAATGTGAGGAAAACCTGGGCTGAAAAGTTGGAATCCATGGTTGAAGATTATTTGGTTCAATTTGAAACGAACAGTAATTCACAAATTATATTTATTATCAATTTTCTTTTGGCTGCATGGTTTTCTGAGATTGAAGAGACCGATGACTTAAGACGGAACCGAATTAATTATGTTTTCAATCAACTTTTACTTCGGATTGATTCAAAAACCGCTAATAGTGACTTTTCTAATCGTTGGCTAATTTACAAGCTCATGGAAAATTTAAATATCAAGGTGGATCAAAGTAAATGGTCGGTTGTGAATTTACAAATAACTCTTAGGCAAGAGGAAATTGGCCGAGAGTTGTTGCAGTTTATTGAGCCAGCTTCAACAATAGATGTCGACCAATTAATTTCTATAATTAAAAGCATTATCAAAGCTAACCCTTGGTTTGGTGAACTGGTTGTTGAAAATTTAAAGACATATCCATTTCTTAAGGTGCGTTCAATTACAGATCCAGATATCAGCCGTAAAGACTACAATTTGGGTCTCGCAATTTGTCAATGTCTGGAAGAAGCTATTGAGCGATCTGACTATGCTTCAGTCTATAAATTAATTAATATAGTACCTGATGATGAGATAAATTCAAATGAAATATTAACTAGCTTAAGAAAACTTATACAAGCAATTTTAACTAGTGACTATGAAATACTCGACTTGGATCAATTCTATTCGGCAATTGTTGGTCGATCAACTGACAAATTGGCTAAATTAGTTTCTCAGATGGATTGGAAACTAAGAGCTCAAGGTGACCCTTACATGTATCACGATGGGCGAATTAATTCATCAATGGTTGATGATAATCTAAACAAATCTTCCTCTTCCTCATCATCAATTATCGTCTTGAAAGAAAGGTCTATTGATAATGAGGTGTCTCCTATTCTTAACAAAAAATTGTCCAGAGCTAGTAATGCTAGCGATGCAACTTTGAGAAGTATCAATGATTTACCTGACGGAAAGCTGTTTAATATTATTCTAGACCATGAAACTAAAGAATGGAACGTTGACAACTGTTTTTTATTAGCAACAATCGAGAAAAAACATTTCCTTCTCGAACTTCTTTCAGCTCCTTTTTCTCATTTCCATGTGATTCCAGACGAGCTCAAATTAATATTTCTACTTGAGATTATTTACAATTCTCCCAATCCTCATCATTTTAATCAATCTCATTTCAGTGCGAAGTCATCTTTTTCGTCAACTGTACATTTTTCGGAAAGTTTTCATGACTCATCAGAAGCCAACAAGTCTTTCAACGAGCTTCGAGAATTGATAAACTCATTTTGGTTTAATAGCTTACTCGAATCAAAGCCAATTTTATCCTACGTAAAAGCTAAACTTCAATGGATCTTCAAGTGTATTGATTTGTGCCTCAAAATAGATCCAAATCTCAAATATTGGGATAATCTCGGTGTTATTTTCAAAATGCTATCTCAAGGAGCTTCACCATTAACAGTTTTCAATAAATTTGGTATTCTCAATGCAGCTTTAGAATCAGAATCCGGTAACAATGATGTTAACAAAGAGGCTCTCGATTTACTAACTGAAAGTGGCCAGTCTGAATTAATGATTTGGTATGGATATCTTGCCGTTAAATTAGCAGTAATGTGGATTTTCAACAATAATTCAACAGAAGAAGAAATTATTGACCTACCAAACCAAATATCAAGTCTAATCAACAAAATATTACCTTTATCTTTCCGATTAGAAGTTCTTGAAAATTTGTATTCTCTTCTATTTCTCACATCAAGAGATGTTATTGAACCATATCTCCCTGGAAGCAGCGAAGAAATTTACACAGATGAAAATGGTTCTCAACAACAAGAAACGTCTGATGATATAATTGAAATTTCATCTGTCAAAACAACGCCAGCCACAGCTAGTGATTCAATCTATTCAAATAGTTCACTCAATGCGAGCTCAATACTTCCAGCACTTTCAGATTCATCCTCATCAACCTTCATGTTTCCCAATAGTTTGATACCTGCATATTTAATACTCCTTAAGGACTGTGTTCTCAAAGCGCAAGCAAGCCTGTTCGCTTTTAAACGTCGCCTTAACGATTCTAAAACTGAAACCTCTGAGAAAGGATTTAACGATGTCTTTGTTGAATCAGCAATTGTTGGTTATGATGAATGTAAAAGTCGACTTCGATCTCTTATGGACTATATTAATGACTCACAATGGAGGTATTCAGTTATTGAACCAGCCATTGTTGAGCAACGTGTTTCAGCCGTGGCAGTTAATAGTGCTATCGTAGCCGATAACCATGATGATCTATCACCTTCCATAAGTAGAGGGGAAACAGAAGATGCAGCTGAGAAATCAATTTTAGAATCTGATGAAATTCCTGATGAGCTACCTAAAGAAGAAAGCAAGAAGGATGAATTTTTCTCTTCACTAATTCCTTGTATGTTGGCATCTCCTGATCAATTGCTTCGTTACTGTTTAATTGAGAATCAAATTGAGCGAGCTAAGCAAGTTTACAAATTATTTGCTGACTCTTTGGCTGACACTGAAGAAGCATTTGAACTGCTGATAACAGAAAAAACGTTAGAATTGACACAAAAGTGTCGAGGTTTCTTTACGACTTCAAAGACCCCAGTTTCACCTAAATCACCTAATTCAGCACAATCACCTCGATCTTCAAAAATTACACAAATTCAAAAAATTTTACACGATTTCTTGACCAAAATGGATGAACAAACACACGGAGATGTTGATACCAATCGTTTATTGATCGACTATTCAATTTGCTCAGCTTCATGTCTCGAGTTTTCTGAGATCATATTGGAAAGTTGTTTTCAGTCCAAAAATCTTGACTCGAAAAATGAATATGAAGAAATTATGTATGAATTCATCAATCGAGTTACTTCACTATTATTACTTTTCAAAGACTCGGAAACATTAAGAACAACCAGTTTAGCAACATTGTTTTCTCTATATTCTGATTCGAGTCTTTTTACCAATCCTAAAATATTAATTGCTGAGAAGGGTAGAATCAGTGCAATCAAGCGTTATCTTAATGATCTTCGTTCACTTTTGATTGCTGACCCAGTTGATCCAACAACGTTATCATCACCTGTTTCTCCTGATTCTCGACCTTTGACCATTCAATACCAAAAACTTATCTCCTGTTTTCCCAGTGGTAAATTCAATTATCTCAAAGCTTTGTTCTATCATGTTCGAAAAGTGTCTGAAGCATTGAGTGAAGCACAAAAACGAAGTGAAAATTTCGCTCGAGCTCTTGTCAGTGCTGATTCAATCTCAATGAGTACACTGTCAAAACATGGAACTTATTTCTCAGTTTTATATAAAAGTCCATCAGCTATTCTCTGCTCTCTTGTCATTAAATATGGAATTTCGCCTAAAGTAGTGGACGATCTAGCTACAGATATGAAAGTAGATCTTCTTGGAACTCTTTGCTCAGTTACTTGCCCACAAATTCCCACAACATCTAAACACGATGACAGCTCATGTGATTTCACTTTGATCGACAGTTTCCACCCTGCCCTTTGCGAGCTTATTCAATGTTATTTGACTGGATCTCATTCAATGGAGAACTCAGTTCTCATCCAGAATCATTTTGACGATGAAAGAACGTCTCAAGATGAAAGTGAAAAATCGATCATCAAAAATCAAGAGTTGATAAACTATTTCAGGACTAAGAGTTGGGTTTTAGTTAGTTTACTCAAGCTTCTTGGGCTTATTAGTGTTGATGAAGATACCAAGGATAAAGAGGGTTCAGTTGGATCAGACATGATCTTGAATCCACAATCACCTTTACAGAAATGGTTATCTCTGGTTAAAACAACGATTGGTACAAATTCACGAGAAGATCCTATTTCGTTAACAGCTTTAGCTCTTCATCCTCGAATCCCGGTTCATAACTCTACCGTTATGAGAGCTTTGGAAAGATGCGCAATTAATCATGATTACATCCAAATTCACCGAATGCTCCAGCTTCTTGATCTTAAAAATGCCAATTCGTCACTGGAAGCTCTTTCAACGGCTTTACTTTTAAAGCTGACTAAAGAAACAAATGAAGTCAAATATGCTCTCCAGATGAGCTGCGCTCGAACTATGAGAGATCTTGTTGTTGAGCTTATCTTCAATACATCATCTTATTCGGATACAAGTAATGCTGAACGTGCTCTTAAATCAGCTATCTCGCGAGCTGAAAAGAATCCAATTCAATCAGAATCATCTCCAGTTCTAGACAGCTTGCGATCGGCTTTAAAAACCATAAATATCTACGCCAAAATTGCCACTTTATCTGGTCTCAAATCATGGAAAGATGCCTATGACAATCTATCTGAAGTTGACATTTTAACTATCTTAAAATCTAAAAAATGTTACTCACTGACAGCAGCTTGGGATGAAACGATGAAAAAGAATAAACAAGTGTCAGCATTTAATCGAATATTTTCTGCCACAAATTTACAGATGGATGCTGAGCTTGATCTTGAAGTTGAAAGATTACGGTATGAGTTATTGTTGTTGGCTTTTTGTGAAAAATCATCTCAAAAATCTAGTACAAACCTTGATACATCAACATCATCTTCATCTTCATTATCAGATCTTAAGATCCTTATTTCAGCAATCCGGGAAGTTCATCTTGATCCTTGCCTGTTGATTGAAAAAATATTACCAGCAGTTGATGATTGGGACGCTAAAGAAATTCTAGTCAAATATTTGCTTCAAGACCCATCAATTCAATCACAAGCAGACAAAATCGATCATTATAATGACTATTTTCTGGGAATAAAAATTATTAAAACGCTCAGACCTGAAGCAAGAATCTATTATGAACAATTAACTGTCAAACCTCTCCTAGTTGTGGAACAAATGCTGATGAATCTAGAATATGAATCGCTAGAGAAAGTGATTAGAGCTCAAAGATTAATCAAGTGTGATCATCTAATTGAAATTTATGCTCGTAAAGCAGTGGACGTTGAAATAGTAGACAATGATTCTATGACTGGATCAGAAACTACACTTATTTCATCATCAATCCTAACGGAACCCTTTGGACCACATAACAGTCCAACAGTTTTTCGAATGCCAGCCACTGTACCTTCCAAGGAACAATGGATACCTGATAGTAAAGTTTCCGTTTGTATGTTATGTAAATTGGAAAAATTCTCTATGTTTAATAGGAAACATCATTGTCGTCGTTGTGGTCGAGTTGTTTGTGGAACTTGCTCACAAAAATTCCTTCTCATTCCTGAGATCTCAGTTCGTCAAGCAGTTCGTGTCTGCGATGATTGTCACACTCAAACTAAACTAGACTCGGCCTCACAATCTCGAAAAGAGTCAATATCATCTTCAACTTCTTCCAGTGGTGAACCTACAGTTGAATGGATCCTTTCCTCTGCTGAACATGACAACGAAAGCATTCGGGATGAATTTTATTTTGAATCAGCTCCTAGTAGTTCGCTATGCTTATCACTTCTCAAGCTTCATTCAGATAAAAAGCAGTGTGCCAAAGTGATTATCGAACAGTTAAGCCGTCCACTTTTTGAAATACTTTCCTCCAACCGAGTAGATTATGGTCTCATCATTAATCTCATCAAATCTCTACTTCTCTCAGCCAAAGTTCTCATAAATGATGAAGAATCAAAGTTAATTATTGAAATTGATTTTCTTTTAAGTCGCGTTGATATTGTCAAAATGCTTGTTGAAGGTAATTGTCCTCATCGTGATCTGATTGCCCATGTTATTTCCAAAGAAGACGCTTCGCTTCGATTACAGGAAAAGCTGGTTGAAATGGAGAGATTTGATTTAGCTTATCATATAGCAACTAAGTATGGAACAAATTTGAAACAAATTTGGAAGACCTGGGCCATGGTTTGTCTTAAACATTGTCAATTTGCTGATGCAAGGAAAAAGTTCAAACCATGTTTTGGAAGTAAATCAACCAATAACAAAAGTGACATTAATAGTAAATTGCTGCAAGAAATTTTTCAAGTGTTTGAAACTATCAAAGAAAAAGTTAATCAGCTTCCATTGCGAGATCGTTGTAAAGCCATCAAGACAGGTCAAATTGTCAATTTAGGAAGACAAACTAAAGTTCCCAATCCTGATGATGGTTGTTTACCCCAAGTACTTATTGACGAAGGTCTATTTTATTTGAAAAATTATGGTTCCAAAGAAGATGAATTACGTTTCTATGTGCAATTTGGTTTACTCAAGAATGCTGTCCAATTGTTCTTGGCTGAACCCAATAACGGCGCTTTTAATAATCTTTTTGTTACTAAACTATTGTTACCTTGTACACAAACTGGGTCTTTTAAAAAGCTGCTCTCAACATTCACTTCAGTTGATCCAACATTGGCTAAATCATGGAAATACTGGATCTATGCGTGTAAATATTTGTCTAGTAATAACTTCTATCACATACTCCATGGTATTCAAGTTTTTATGGGTGATTACATTCGAGCTGCAATGACTCAAATAAACTTCTTTATCTCTCCAAAAGTCACCGATTACAGTCAACTCCATAGTCGTTTGGATCATTTAGCTCAAGCTAAGCAACACTGTCAAGATTTTCTAAGCAACCGTGGTCAATTAAATAAAGGCTGTCTCGCATTTTCTAGTCAAGAAGTCACTAAACAAATCAACGTAATCAACCTTCAAATTGACATAACCAACAAGCTGTTTGCAAAAAAGATAACTTTACCAAGTGCCTTAGTTGATATCGCAGACGAGAAAGAAACTGTTGATCTTAAGGAGGCAAAGAAATTTAGATCAGCAATCGAAAAGGAAACAAGCAATAATGGTTCAAGTCCACTTTTTGTGCCTACATTACTCGACGACAATATAGCATCAAAGATACAATTAACTGTTTTAGTTATTCTTGAATTAGGATCAAATATCAGTGAAGGTCTTGAAATGGCTCAGCAAATTATCCAGGTATAATCAAAATCAATACCCAATCTTTGTCTATTAACATAATACAAATAATCATTCTTTTTTTTCTTAATCCAGAATTATAGCTTAGACATTACTCATGTATATCGATTGTGTGGCAAAGTTTTGGCGCAAAGTAATAAGGTCAATCTGGTTCAATTGGTTAATCAATTAATTGACTGTATTCGTCTTTCTCACGACCCTTCGGAAAGTATCAATCTTTGTGATGATATGCTTGCAACCACAATTCGTTATACTACAGAACCTCAACTCTCCGATCAATTGATTAAAATGATGAACAATGATCTGAACAAAATTGATGCTTACATTTTAACCGAGAAACTTAAATCAGCTTACCTTTTAGCCGTTCGTCTTCATAGGATTGACGATGTACGTCGTGTATTGGATGCAAGTGTCCGACTTAAACAAGATAATTTAACCAAGATCTGTCAATTATGGCTGGATAAAAATTGCTAAACTATCTGTCATTCCATCAAACAAATATTTTTATAATCATTTTCACCAAATCAAGTTGATAAGGCTCAGATCATTTGCTACAACATTATTGAAATTGTTATGTTTTTTAATCAAAGAAAAAATTCCAAATTATCTTATATCACTATGCCAATAACATAATGAAAATTAAAACATTAGAACCTAAATAAATTTATACTTTCTATTGTTATAAAACAAAAATACGTCAATTTATTACAACCACAGATAGGGAATAATTATCGTTATCATTTCATGAGACAATTTCAAATAGTAAATCGAAGATAATTTGAATTTATTTTAATCAAAGTAAAAAAAATGGTTAGAGTGAGTTTCAATTCTTAATCGTTAGAATGAGTTTCCGATTACATTTGTATAAGCACAATCCAGATGAAAAACTACGATAAAATTGTAGGAAAACCAACATTCAAAGTTCTCAGTTAATAATAAAATAAGAGATTAATATTGTTGGGCGTAATTGTTTGAATTTGTTTACCTAAACAATGATGATAGATATTTATAATATTAAATTGTTGAAATTTGATGAAGGCGATGATGAAGATGAGATGGTGTTGATGTTGATGAGATGAAAATTGATGAAAATTACATTTGTTAATGAACTTATCTTTTGGCTTTTCAGGTTTGCAAACAAAAATGTTTTTGTACCTAATCATACATTTCATATCATGTATTTTTCATCATTAAATGTTGAAATAATTTAATGCAATTGAATATCTAAATCAAAAAGGAGTTAATCGAAAGTTTCGTTTCCTTTGACCAGTCATATCCTCAAATGGGTACATTGAGGATAACCCAAAAGGTAATTTGGGTTCATAAAGTGATGATGAAAATGAAGGTAAACCAGAAAGACCCGATAAACCAGAATAGCCAGACAAACCAGATGAAAAGCCACCGAAAGGATATTGACCATAGACACTTGGTACTCCTTGACTTTCACTTGATAATAATCGAGACCAATCAGTAACTGTAAACATTTAATTGTACCAATTGGTTAATGAAACAATATCAACAATTTTTAAATTTCTTCATTATTTGGCTTTACATTATTTATATTACTTGTTGGTCTATTGATACGCAAACTTGACTCTAATAATTGCTATCAAGTTATTTTTAGGCAACTTTGAATTTGAAATGAATCTCATTTAAATTTTTTGATTAAATGTGAGATACTTTTGACAATTTTTCTTGTTCTTCTTCCTTCAATTATTTTATAATACTCAGTCTCTCACATTATCATTGATCATAAAGAATTGCAATCTTTTATTTTGTAATAACCAGCTTATTAATTTAAGTATGCTGCACTGATTATGTATTAATAGCTTTGCTATTGCTTGTATATTCAATTTTGATTACATAGTGGTAGTAATCACGATAGTAATTAATGAAGGAATCTGTCTGTAGCATATCAAGAGTTTCAACTTCAAATAGAGTATCATTGAACAATCAATAAAAGATCGGTGCAAAAGTATTGAGAAAATTCATTTTAATTATGAATCACGGTAGTTTGACTATCTTTATAAGGATTTGAAGTACAATTACAAATTGATGCTTTACTTCGAAGCGCTAATTTTGATAGATATTTCTAAATTAAGATTATTTCAACAGTTAATCAGCACATTTGAGACCATTAACATTGAAATAATGAAATCAAAAATGAAGTTTAGGTTTACCCAAACCGAATAATGAATATCTCAAAATGAAAAAAGATACAATGTTATCTTGAAATTGTTAGTATTCAATTCCCAATACTTTTGCACGAACCTTTCATATAAACAATCGGATGACTGATTATTTGTTTCAATTCAACGATAAGAATAGAAAACATTTTATCTACAGAATGAAATTCGTCTCGGATTCATCAGATCCTCAATCAGTGTTATATTTACACACACATATTTTCAAGAAACTAAAGGTCTATTGTTTAGTTACAAGTTTATATTAATGTTGCCAAGTGATGGACAAGAAAATTGATTTACCTGGAGATGAAAACATATTTTTGGACATAAGTTGTGATGGGTTTGACATAGGGAATCCAAAGCCCGAATTAGGAGTTGACGATAAAGGTGAGAAGGGTGACGGTGGGGCTACCATGACTGGGTTCATGTGTGAACCTGATGAGAGCATTTGTTCATAGGGTGATGATTGCAGTGGTGATTGTGATTGGAAATAGTTTGAAGATTGGTAAGATTGGCGAGGTCGAAGGAATTGCCGTGCTAAAGAAGCAAGAGCAAGAAACGATAATATTTGACAATCGATTGGTATAATTGACACTGTTATGGTGAGAATCACATTGACCAGGAAAAATTGGTGCAACTTCATTGTCTCGTTATTGATGTATAGAGACTATGGAAACAAATGTAAACACAACTTAATATAAAAATGTTATTCGTATCACAAAGATAAATTGCTGTTGGTTAAGATTTTAAGGTTAACTTATTTAGAGCTGATTTAGGTAATTCAGAAGAGTAATGTTGGTTATGATTGTTGTCAGTAAACCGTCAAAATTAAAAATGATATGAGAAGGAATGAAGAATTGAAGGAGTAAAGAGAAAAGAGAGTAAATGAAGAGAAAGAAAGAAAAGTGAGAGAAAAGGTCGTTATATTCAAATGACAAACGGCTAACGGTCATCCTTTTTTTACTGTTGCTATAATTATTATCATTACAGTTATTGTCATGATTATTAGCATTATCAAGGATAACTTAAAATTAACATTATTCTGATGAATTATTTATGCAGGAAAATGTCAAAAATCAAGTGAGAGTTGACTTTAAAGAGGCAACCAGATTAAACGAAACGAAACATAAGGGGTAAAATTTGCTCTAGTTGTGTACATGATTAACTTAACAGGGTGAGAAAAGTGATTTAATTTTATGGTTAAATGACCTATGGATGGACAAACGACTACTCGGTTGAGATTATAATGAGCTCAATCCTGTTTTTTTTAATCGTTTTCACCCTCATCATCCTAACAATGTCAAGAGTGATAACCCGCGTTGAACCATTTTTGGTCAGCTAGACTTGGACCAGTTAATTTTACTCTCTCATCAAATGACCCTCTTTTGCTCATCATTTCATTGTCCTGTAAAAACAAAATGTTTATAATTGTCAACATATTTAAACAATTCAATGTTCTGCTTTTTAAAAAGTTACTTTTCTAAATGGCTCTTAAAATAGTAAATTACTCAGACGATGATTCTAATTTTAAGGTTAATCCAATAATTATAAAAACAGCTGATAAATTGGAATGGTTCATGAAATTCATGTCAAATGAAATCATACTGAGACTTTTGTCAACAATTACAATATCAAGGCTAAAACTTGTACTTAGTGCATCGTTAATCAGTCCAAGTGGTTTCTTAAACAACTTGAAATTTATGAAGCAAAATTAGAATCATTTTGATGATTGATTTGTTGGCTATTTTCATGAACTTTTGCCGATGGATTGTTTAATAAAAGGTGAGAATGACAATTAGAATTTTTTGAATTTTTATTATCACATATCACAAAAAGAACTCTGGCAAATTGTTTTAAAATTGATACAAAGTAAAGTCTTCGCTTGGAAAGAAAATGTTTGTAAAAGACCCTTGAAAAGTATAAGTATCCCAATAAGTAAAAGTTTTGAGCAATTAAAAGTAAAAAATAATCACATAATGGGCAGCTTCTAATATAAAAAACTACAATTTCATTAGGCCACATTTTGAGTCTTTTTGTAAAGTCACTAAGTATTCAATTGACCTCAATCATGTTCAATGGTAGGGAGCCACCTCGAAAGTTTTTGGCATTCAAATTGATTCCACTTGGTCGAATGTTTAACTTGTTAGCAATCTTGGCCCAATTGTAAAACTGAGAGATCAACTCGAACCCATAGCTTTTAACGTAAAATTTAAGGCTAGGAGTTTTGAAACCATTGAAATTGGATGCTGCACAAATGGTATAGGCTCCCATGTCTGGGAAAATGATCCATTCTCCGACTTGCATTTCAGGGAAGTAGAAATCTTTTTTGATGCAGTCCATACTGTCACAGGTTGGTCCCCAGATTGTAGTTTGAAATTGAGTTTGATCAGTGGAAAGCAATCCTTGTTCATCAGTTCCAGAGCGGTATGCGTCAAGGGTCGTTGGCTTAGTTTCATAATGATCAAAAATAGTACAATTAAAAGAACCATATACACCATCATTGAGATAGTACATGGCGTTAGGAGATCCATCAGAGTTTTTTATTACTTTTTTGGCAACGATATTGCATGCCAGGGTGAAAGCTGAAGCAACATAGTATCGGCCTGGTTCGGCGATGATGGAAATATCTTGATCAGTCGGGAAGTAAAGATCTAAGTTGGCATTGATCACTTTTGCCACCTCATCAAAAGTGATCGGTGAATCAGAAGATCCAGGAAAACCTCCCCCAATGTCCAGAAGGTTCATCTGGAATCCCAATTCTATGGCCACATCAAATACAAAGCGAGCATTTTGAAGAGCAATACTGTAAGCTTCAGCACTGGTACAACCACTACCAACATGGAAGCTGACTCCAGTCACATTAAGGTTCAACTTTTTGGCTAAAGTAAGTAAATTAGTGACGTCATCCATTTCAGCGCCATATTTTGTACCAAGAACACAAACAGCATGCTCATCGGGAACTCGGATTCGAAGAACAAGTTGCGCATCAGGCATGTAGCGGGCTACTTTGTAGAGCTCTTCAGTATTATCAAAAGTCATCAGCTTGACACCAGTTTTAGCTGCATATTCAATATGGGATTTTGGCTTGCAGGGATTGGCATAAATAATGTCTTTAGGAAGGGCACCCAATGATATCAATTCTTGAATTTCACCCTGTAAGAAAGTAAGAAAGAGAAAAAATTTTAGTGAAACTTTACTTTATCTAAGAAACGAAAGTGGAGTGAAAAGTGTGGAAAATGAAAATTTAGAGGAAAACTGGTAAGATAACACTTCACCCCATAACTGTGATGCCCGCAATCCATTGAACCGACAAAAATCTATCGCTAGTCAATCGAAATAAATTCAATAGATGAATAGACAGAAAGGATTTGATTGAACAGGCGAAAAGATCAATAAGCTCAGGCCTTAATAGTCGAAAACCATCGATAAAAGATCAGAATAAGGCCTCCAACATTTCTCCTAGCCTGCATTTCCAACTAAGGATCTTCAAGTAGCCATTTCTATAACAGGGGCAGGTTTATTCAGCTAATTAAATAGCTTTTAATATAAGTCGAACTCAAGTAGCTGGAACAAGAAGAATGAGATGGCGAAAACTTACTTTGCTGGCGCAATCGAAGCCGATACCCAAACCCATCAGGATTTCAAGGATAACTCGACTACTATTGCATTTAACAGCGTAATAAGGTCGCACTCGTGGTAGGCTTTGAATCCAGTTTCGATGTTTATTGAGTATGTCGTCAATATCGACGACATAAAAGGCATCCTCCTGGCCTGGGACTTGGGTGGACTGGCCGATGTATTCTTGAACGGTTGGCGAACAATCATCAAGAGCAACAAAACAATCAATATTCTCAATAATACTCATTTTGACGGTCTTTAGTTAGCAATAGTAACCAAAATCTCGGAATAATAGGGAAAAAAATAAATCGAATAACACCAAACGAGTTGATAAAATTGAATAGAGATGGCTAGATCCGAGGTCAGTAATAGACTCTTGATCAGATTGTCTCTTCAAATATTTCCTTGATTGGATGACACTTGGAGACCAAGGAAACCAATGTTCAAGAAGCCCAGGAGCCAGAGGATTAACCCTGTAATGAAAAAAAAGAAAAAGAAATGAGTCAGACGATATGTTAGCTTAGATTTAAGCTGATAAGTAGTAAACGGATAAGTGACCAGTACTAACCGGCTCAGGAAGGATAAGCTATTGCTATTGAACCTAGCTATCAGTAATAGGATAAACAAAAATCTATTGGGTCCAAAGTAAACAAAAAGACAAAGTCAAAATAGAAACAAATAAAGTGTTTCCTCACCACAAGAGCAATCAAGTGTGCGCGATGATCTAGTAAATTTTACTTGACTAAGCTCAAAGACTGAAGTTTTCCTGGGGTGAGTAATATTGAGCAATTAGGCAGACTGATTAGGAAACTATTTGAGCCTCATTGAAAGTCAAATGATTAGAGCAATCAAAGAGAATGGAGCTAGTGAATGAAACCAATGGAAACCATGGAAATAGAAAATATTCAGTTCACTTTCAAGATTAGCTGATGGAGTGAATAGAATGATGAGTTAACGCAAATTAATATCAAAGTCTAACTTTGCTTAGGCAATAGAGCTGATACTGATAATTTAATGTCATTTTTCAATGAATAACTTACCTAATGAAATTCAGAAGTAATCAATACAGAAATTTTCGTTGAAATTGGGAACAAAATTAAATTTAAGCAAACAATTTGAAAATATAACTAAAAGGCTCTGAAATGAGTGAAAAAACAAGTAAAAAACAAGATGGAGAATGAAGAATGCGAACGAAGACACAAGAGGCGGTAAAAGCAAATTAACTTCGTAAAATTTCACAACGGGTTAACCCGTTGTGAGCTTATTCTTGGTTCTATCTAATTAAAACAAGACTAGAGTTAATTTAACAATTAAATTTTGAGCACTGGTAAAATAAGCATTAGAGATGTTGTTAGAGGAGAAACCAAAGTTAAACTAAACTCAAAGAGAGAAGAAGGCAAAGAGTAAAGGAGAAGAGGTTTCTCTCAATACAATTTTGTGAAGCTTACAAAGTGGCTCTGGCGAGGGCGCTTTAAAGGTATTTTAATAGATTAGATAAAAAAAATTAGATTAAAATTAAATTGAAAGAGATTGAAAAAGTGACTGATTCGAGCGCCTCTCGTTGAGGACCGCTAACTAAACTTCTCATTGAATCCTATGGAGAGCTATCTCTTCTTCTTTACTCTTTGGAAGAAGGCAACAAGCAAGAGTGAGATAGATTAAGTGTTCAATCCAATCAGTTGACTGATATGAGTCAAGCGCGTGATTTAGATAATGAAAGGGGAAAGTGTTGTTGATCGATATGTCAATAAAGAAAATTCCCGTACATATGGATTCCCCATATTTCGTGCTGTGAATCCTATGCCATCTAGCAAAATAGAAACATTACAAGTGTAGTTACACTTTAAGCAAGAAATTTTTCATTAATCGATTGAAAATATATTTAAAGGCTAGAAGTATCTCAATAACTCTCAAGAAACAGATTAATGGACTTGACGACCAGATCCATTTTGCATTCACAGCGACAGAAATTTTTCAAGATAAATTGACAACTGATATAAACAGAAATACTTACTCCACATTATTAGCAATATCACTAACTAACTTGAGAGACTTTATAATGAACTCATCGATGATATTTGATATCATCTTAAGGAACGATCACTTGATGTTTTATCCAGTAGTCAGACCCACTGGAGATGATGATTAAAGTAATCTAATAACAACTTAAATGAAATTAGGATAACTATTTTCCTTTTCCTAGCAAGTTACTTTAAACAATTGGACTATCTTTTGACAAGTTACATTATGAAACTTCCATGATTGTGTCAATCAACTTGATTTAGGTACAACAATTAATACTGTCTGACAAAAGCGTGACATCAAACATAATTTTAGGGCTTGATAACCAAGGATGGTTACAATGAATGAAGTGATTGATTGACTATCATTAAGGTTTATTGATATGGCAATTGTTTTTGAGTATCAATTTCCCCTCAAAAGCCAATTAACAATCAGATAGAACATCGAACCTTGATCCTCATCCTATTCCTATCAACAACCAGCCATTTGTAATGTGAACCAAAGATATTAGTTCCTAAACAAAAAACTACATGGTTCTAAAATAAACTCAACCGCAATGTTTGTTTGATATCTATAGAAAGAATTCAACCAGTATCTTTGAATCTTGAACAAATGAAATAGGAGACCAGAAATAAAATAGCACCATGATGAAATACGACCATGAAGCCCAGCAAAAACAAAACGAGAGGCTAAACGTCTGAAGTGAAGATAGTAACATTGGAGACAGAATATTGAATATTGAAAGATGCTTCACGCAAATTGAGAACACTAAAGGAAATCGTGATATGAAAATTTCAACGCTTTGAGCCAAAAAGACAGTCAATTCATGATTAATTGAAGAAAGTGAATTGTAAATTAAATGAGAACAGCATGACAACAAATAAGCTAAGAAAGGAAAGGAACAAAATGGCAGAAGAATTATTATTTTGAATAAAAGAGACTTACCTTAAGACAACTTAAGAGTGGTACTAGAAGAGACTTCAGCAGAAGGCTTGAAAGGTGACAATCAAAGAAAATAAATTCGAATTGATTAAGAAATTAATTTAAAGAAATTATAAAACGGATTACAATTAAAAGGCAGATTTGATGAATAAAGAAATGTTGTGGCACAAAATTTCAAATTTATTAGGCTTAAGAGTGTTGACAGTGCTGCTGGCTGTTGTTTGGTTTTTGTTACAACTGAAGTTGTTGCACCAAATGATTCTCGTTTAAATAGTATTTTCAATTTCTGGTCACAAGGTTCATTAATTACTGTCCTCGATGTTTTATTTGAAAATGTCATTTGATAAAAGTAGACAAAATTCCCGATATACTATTCTCAGCATTCAACTAAGATAATTGAGTGCTTAAATAATCTCATCTTCATTGGTCCTTAAACCATAATCTGTCTGTATGAACAAGAGTCAATAAAATTAATGTTAATATTATAAAATTTTGTGTTCACTTGATATTTAACTTGAATCGGGGACTTTCAATGTTGATAAATATTTATTGCAAAAATTAAAGGTAAGAATCAATGGAATAAAGATATTAAATTGTTCACATTACATGTAATAAAGAGTATTTCAATATAAAGAAAAACTGAAAAGATGTTTAGATTCCGAAGACTTTATATTACGGTAAATTTCAATTGAGTTACCCTGTAAAGGGAAACGTTATTACAATAGAAATATTAGATTGATTATTCAGATATATGTGTTTATTTATTTTTGCTTCATTTTCCCCTTTTAATCTTATCAATGGACCATTTCTTGAGATGTTGTCATGAGAATCAGGTTGAAGCCAGTATTAAAGGTTTTCAAGATGACTTCAATGATCTGGAAAAACGGTAATGTACCAATAAATAGAGGATTAACCGTCACAAATTTCCCGTTCTTCGACTTTCAAACGATTTATGAATTGACTAGGAAATGCGCATTTATGAAACTGAAAGTGAAAATATCAAACCAGCAAAATAGTCAGCAACTTTTGCGTTGACAAGCAATTTCAATTTGTTTTAACAGTCAAAATGTGATTAATTTTTGACAATTAAAGGGTCGAGTATTTACTAAATTGTATAAATTCGTAATGAATGTAATTCTCAAGATTCAGAGATCGATATGATTTGTTACAGAATTGAATGCTGGATCATAGCTAAGAATGGCCGAGATTGGGTTGACTCTTGTTTTAGTGATAAGGTTTGGGTAACAGTCTTGCTTTGAGGACAAAAGTTTGATATGATTTCGGTCAATAGGAAGTAGTCGATTTATATTTCAATCAAAGGTAAATGTTTTTGTTTTTAATCTATTATAAGATAACTATTACATTAATTGAGCTATTAAAGAGGCTGGTAATCTCCAAATGATTTTAGCATTTTTTCAGGTCAAATATTGATCGATCTGGATTCACGATTAATCATTGATTGTAACGAGTTTTGTTTCTGTTTTTGAATCGTCTAGAGTCTGGATAATGAGTAAGTCTTGATTTGAAAACGTCATATTTCTAGAAATGTTACAGGTTGAGAGACTGATCTTTGATAAAATCATCTTTAATATTAATCAACTATATTTTCCGACTTGTTAGATGAAAATTTTAGGAAAAAATTATGTTCTTTAAATATTAAGTTATAAGTTATTCTTTATGTGTGTTTAGAAGTGTTTATTATCATTTATTAAATGATATTGTATCAATTATTGAACCAAAGTCATATAGTTAGTTCATGTTACATGTATATCTTAGTTATAGACTTTCATTTCATCACTTTCCTCCAATTCAATGTTCAAATATTAACAACAAGCTATAATAATGAGCATTGGAAGTAAATCATCTTCTAATTTGGTCAGATTGGATTGTTATTTACAGATGAGAAGCACCATGACATAGATGGCTGAGTCTTTAATTAAATTTCTTGAAAATTGATGTCATTCATTCAATTCACTGCTTAAATCTCTGCTTTCATTTGTTGCACTTCGCAAAAAAGTCACAACAAATACTTTTCAAGTTTAATAAACAAACTTCGATTAATCGTCTACAGATTTCCATAATCGGTAAGTAAACTGATGAAATTAAATTACTTTCATTATCTTAATATCGATGATCAGACCTACGGATGTGCAAGGTGCATATATTACTTGATGCAAAAATCATAAGAATCCATTGAGAAATAAAAAAGTTATTCAAAATTCAAATCCGTAAATTTTGAGTGGATCAGCCTAATATCTAATTTTAATCATTTTGATAAAATTTCCTAATGAAATATGATTATGCTAAAACATGAATCTCAACTGTCCCTAGCAAAATCAATGTTTAGGAACATGAAAGAAAAAGGAATTGGGAAATTGCTCATTTGCAGGAACAATAACTTTTCTTAATCATCATTGATCATCTATTTATTACCAATTCTGTTTCTAATTGATTAAGTTAATGAGTTGTTTGATTTTCAAACCAAATTAGATAAAATGATCAGTATTGAGTTAAATTTCCAATGACTTTTGGAAATTTATTTTTGGCTGATTTATTATACTTCATCGATTTGATCTTAATATCGATCCAAAAAATTGTAATTTTATTGAGTATTTATTTAATCCTTGCACTTAAGCAAACCCGTTCTTACGAGACGAAAGAACCCACTTTTCTGTGGCCTGAGCTTTCGCCTAGATAGCTATGTCTACAGAGTAAGGTTATTTGCTAAAATATCATTTTAATTGTTTTAATTGAAATAGAGATTTGTTTGGAATTTAAATAGTGCTTGAGAAAAACCACACAAGATGGCGATGATTTGGGTTCTTTGAATTCAATCTTGTGTCTCCCTCTCTCTCAGCTGGCTTTCTGTTTGTTGACAAACCTTTATGTTATGTTAACAATTATGTTAGCTGTGATCAACTAATTGACGACTTAGTTTTGCTATCAATTTTTTAATCATCCATTTTAATCTTACTATGTATCTTCAATAATTGATTTTTAATGGTTTTGTGTCGACATGTTTTTATGGTTCCCCTTGTTCGATTTAAATACCGTGTATCCTTACTAGTTAAACAATGAATGACCTGATTGCTAATTCAATTAAAAGGAAAAACTGCTTCAACTTGCAGATATTTTCAACTCTTGGTTTTTATCTAATCATTTTAATGCTCATAGGTATGCTGTTCTAACAATTCTTTTCTTGAGTTGTTTTTATCATCAAATCTTGGAACTCAACTTGTTAACATTAGATTTTTGGTTCATCTTTGTTTTCCTCCTTATTTTTCACACATTTTCCTAGATCTTCCTGCTTCAGGGCACATTGGTCAACCTTGTTTACCTTTAGGAATTTGTTGGCCTCTCAATATTCACATTTATTGTGATGAAAATAGAACGTGTCGGTGTAGGCCTGAGACTCCAGTGGTAGTTGGTCCTCATGCATGTAAACGCAATAAATCTCATGGAGATAAATGTTCTTCGGATCAAGAGTGCCTTTATTCTGATAATAATTCTTTTTGTGACAATTCTTTTTGTAATTGTGTGTCCAACTATACTTATGATCCATTTTTAATAAAATGTGTGCATGGTAAGTGTTTTGTTTTTCTCTTCTCATGTATCATTTTGAAAATACAATGTGATACTTTAGATTTTCATTTTATCTCAAATATCTATCCGTTACTTATATTTTATTTTTTTTATTCATCTTATCTTTTCCAGAGTCAGTGCAGCAGCGGTCTACCTTCAATATTTTTTACACCATGTTATCCTCAGCAGCTTTGTGGGTGATACTGATCTTAATTACATTGGTTATCAGTATACCTTGCTGCTTAGCATTTATGTATCATTGTTTTTGCTCAGATAACACAAACGGCAGTGATACACAGGAATGTAGAGACACCAATTCAAGATTAAGATACGCTGAAAGTGGAGGTACAGCTAGACCTGCAAGCAGCATCCGTTTTTCGTTGCGACAAGAAGACCTAGTATCAAGACAATCATCTTATGAAATACCATCTCATGATGAGCTACCACCTACTTATGAAGAAGCCGTTAAAAACCACTCATATGCTCCAACTGCTCCAAATGCTACAACTGTTCAAACAATGAATAGTCATAATCATGGAGACACCCTTGATGGTCCTAAAAATGAATTATCACATTGACAACGAAGCCTATCTGTTCTGAACTGAAAACTCCTTTTTCCATAATTTACTTTCCTTTCCTTATACCATCTATCCCTCCCATCTTCATTAATTTTCCCATTTTCCTTGTTTTTAAAGAATCTTTGCAATATCATTCTATGAAACATGATCATGCAATGGTTTTGTTAATCTATCTGGAAAAAGGCCAATGATTCAAAACTAATTGTCTACATCATGTTCCAAGGAAGATATTTCAATATTCAACTAATCTGTCAATGAAGTAGGTTGCCTAACTTTCTTCCTCGTGTCATTGCTTCCTGATTTCTCTACTTTCCAAATTCAATCAGTACAGGCATGCTTCTCATGTAAACTCAACCAATATAATGTGAAAAAGTAGTCAACGTATTTTTATACTTTTCATATTCTCATTTGGAATAATGGTTTGATTAGAATGTTCTCATCACCTAGTATCTCGTTTTCTCGCCATATTTTACTTTTACATTTACACAGTAAGCTCACTGTTTATCTGCCCATGTACTTTTCCTGACGGCAAAAGGAAATCTTTCCAAAATTAACGATTTTTCAACATTAAGATTGAGTTCTTACTGCCTGATTATGTACTACTAAAGGTTATTCAATGCAATCATATAATTCAACTTTTATCATCGAAGGCTTAAAGGAATCAAAATGGTTCTTGTAAAAAGATGAAAATCATCGCCAAAAACTCCTCTCTCATTGATCTTGTATTTAAATATTCATTTCATCTAAATTGTAAATTTCAATATTATCCTTCATCTCTTTTCTTCGCTCTTTGACCTTTGCCTTCAATAAAAAAGTCATGTTAATTCATACACAAGTGATTATTCTTATTCCATACTTTTCTTTCAACAAATATTGTCATTACTGGAAAATACATTAAACAATCAACAAGGTCAAACATAATTTCATTATTGCCAGAGTAAATCTGCGAACCAGTGAGGCATTCAAGCTGATGAATTAATAAGAAACGCTAATTGAAGGACAATTTTCCAGTTCATCTAGTTGTTGGATATATAATAAAGAAAAGCTTATTGTAAGATTAGTTGATTGCAGATAAACAAGAAAATTAATTTATTCCATCAGAGCTCGATTCTTACATTCACAACACTTTCTTTGAATAACAAAAATAATGATTCATCAAAGATAGTCACAAAAATTTCCCGTTTCATTGAAACTGTGCAAAAACAGTTTTCCATGAAATTAAACATACTTATATTAGACTATGAAACATATTGTAAAACAAGAAAATAAAATTCATTAGTTCAACAGACTCAAACATTTGTCAATATTTTTTCACTGAATCATCAAAAGTTCAATGAATATGAACTTTTGTGACGGCCTTTCAAAATTTCTGAATCAGAAAGGCTATTTGACAACCATTATCACGTGAATATTATCCTCATACTAACCGTTTTGTAAATAATATTTGAACGAATCCGATTTTAAATCAATTTAATAGCTTCACAAATTGAAAATATAATTCCGATGAGCTAATGATATTTGGTTAAAAAATATCATAAACTCCATAAAAATTATTCTTGTATTAGGGTATAAAAGTCAGCGACCTAAACAAGAGTGTTTATTGGAGGATTTTTTGTCATAGATGATCAACCTATTGGTCTGTACAGTTTTGCCAACGGTTTGAAAAAGAGACTAGTCTGACCTATGAAGAGCCAGTGTTTGCCAAATCTTCGTAGCAAAATCTGAAAACCAAAAGACTTAAAGTCAGTTCGTCATCTGTGACAAAATATCACACTTGTTTGCCCTTTTGTTAGGGAGTGAGTTGTTTATTTCATCGACACTTCTTACAATTGTTAGATTCAATTTCAAGTTGCGATAAAGCAGATTAATTGCATGGATAAGGAGTTAAGCTCCAGAGTGGATAATAAAAGTTAAATTTCAGAAGCTGATAAAGATTTCGATTCTGTAAAGCTAACAAACTGCAAGAAAGAAATCTATTTCAAAGTAATTTAACTATAGCTTGAAATTCAATCTAATTTGCTACATTGGTAACAGATTCACATAAAATATTAACAGACGCTTGTAATCTTTCTTTGGTAATCCTTTTGTAATTGTTATTTCAAGAGAGTCACTTACAGCAAAACCAAAGAGTTAAAACAACTCGTAAAACAAGTTATATTACTCTTTGAGCAAAACTAATAGTTGCTTGTAATTTGATCTTTTACCAGGCAACTCAAGAAATCCAGCAAAAGCTCAAATCTATTCTTCCTTTAAGACTTCATGTTATTTTAAAGCAATTGTTTGAATAGAGTTTAGTTTATATTGTTAATCAACATGGCATGGTCTCCTGACCCTCAAACGCGTTCATCTAATGTTACTAAATTGTTCGATGTTTTTAAGGAATTTAAATTTTCTAATATTTTCAAGAAGGATAAAAAAGACCTTTACAATAATTTCGTAATTGTCATCAACTCATCAATGATGCCAAAGATACTTCTTTTCGAGGCAATACTTCTCACTTATAAGGAATATTTTGGTGAAGAGATTACTTGTTCAGTCGAAGAACCACCGAGATTTACTAGACACAGATTTGTTGACTACTGTTGGTTGGAGGGAAGCTTCACAATACCTGCCGAGTCTCCAGATCAGTCCCCTTACAGCGGAGTCAGTTCAATGTATGCAGAAAATGGATCCAAATTTTATCATCGCTACTATCCATGGGTCTACTTGTCCGTAATCATCCAAGTAAGTTAATTCACTTTCTTTTACTTGCTTCATATTTTCATGAGAAACTCGATTACTTAAGATATTGTGATGATTTAAATTTCGCAAGTTCATTAACATACATTCACTAATTTGAGGAAATTGTGAACCACATTTGGGGATCTATTTATTTTGTCAGCAATGGTTCTAATTGAGTCACCAGAATTGCGATAAGCCTCAATTTGACCAATTTCGTACGGGGTTAAAGTTGTACCACGACCCATTGTTAAATTACACACAAAATAAGAAATTTACTTGACAATTGGAACTGAATTTGCCAACTGATGCTCTATTTTGAATATGCACTCATTTTATACCCTGATCTAGGCTGAAATTCCTGGGAAATTAGTAAATTGGATCAGTGTCCCTATCTTTTTTGCCCACCGCTAGAGTTAATTTTCTTAACAAGTTAATCCTGTCGGCAAAGTCCTGTTTTGAGTTAATTTCAGCATATGGCTGACAGATTATCATCTGAAGCCTTCATGAACCTTAAAATCCTTATAAGTCTCACACAATCCTTTTTTCTCGAGAAAAACATGGTGTCCCTATCATTATTGCCAATAGTGTATGTACCGTTCTTCCTTATTTCATCGAGGCTAAGTTTTACGAGTATGACCTTCTTCTCCATAGTTAGCTCCGTTTTTGACTTTCACCTGTTTTTAACACATATATGATATCGGTAAAGTTAACCACTTTACAATATTTAGACAAATACGAACAAGAGGTAAGGGAATTCTTCCATAGGAAACAATGGGACTCAGAACGCAAACACGCAAACACGCAAATGAGCCAAATGACAAAAGGAATATGCTAAATCAATCAGAAAGGATCACTTGACAGTCAATCGCTCACATTTTACCATTTTTTTGCGAATTCTGTTATTTGATTTTGAAGAATTCACAATGATTGTCACTGTTTCTCCGTTCTTGGAGGTATGTAAAAAGAACTTTTGACGGCAGGATGTCATCACTTGATCCTTTCTGATTGATTTAGCATATTCCTTTTGTCATTTGGCTCATTTGCGTGTTTGCGTTCTGAGTCCCATTGTTTCCTATGGAAGAATTCCCTTACTTTGAACGCTGATATCTTGAGAACCATTTATCGGAGCATTTTCAGCATAAGACCATCGGAAATAAGATCTTTGGAACTTCAATATGGCCTGATAAAAATTAGAAAAAATCACGCACAGCAAAATGTGACACTTTTTCAACTTTGACGATTTACCGAAAAACACTCTGTATTCGAAAAATTTCCAAAGTAGCGCCATACAAAACTTTCACATTTTTTCTATCGAATGGCTTATATCATATCTCTCTAGTATTTATAGTTGCTGAGTTATAAACGCGCCAATGTAGGGATAGTTCATCCGAACACCTAGTATAATGTCAATGATCTTGGTTTTTTGAATACAGTAAACCCTCTCAAATTGTCACGTCGTGGGATTAGCATCTTGGCTATTTTCCTATAATAATTAGGCAAAATAGCCCTTTTACGAATTTAATTAAATTTTAAAATTTAATTATTAATTCAATTTAGGTGTTTTTGATTTCTAATTTGATAATTCCTGTATTGAACAGTATAAAATAGTAATTAAGATTCCTCTCAAAATTTTCCTGATTAAAAAAACTGAATTAAAAGCAATTGTTTACTCGGTTACCATGACTCTGGGACAATTAGAGAGGGTGACAATTTGTTAGCCCAGTGGGTTAACCTATGCGATAAGATTGTCTAACCTTCATATGTTGTACTTGCATCCTGGGGTTAGCGTTCGAATCTCGCCAAGTCCTGTGTCTAGGCAAAATACAGCATCTCGCTTATCAGGGTTTAAGCCCCCTGAACTATCCGCCTTCCTCTTCCCTTCGGACACCCTACCTAGCTGGTTAAAGCCCAGCACTTGAGAGGGGGAACCTCTCAAGTAACGAGGGACACGCGGCGCCCTAAAAGCCGTAGGCTGGTAGACAGCCGGTCCACACTGAGAAAAAAGACAATTTGAGAGGGTTTACTGTACATACACTCATGGGTGTGATTGACAATAAACCAAAAGCAAAAATCCACCTTTCAGTTGACTTTCTGTTTTTTCTTGCTAATTTTGGTGAATTTCAGTATTTTTAATAAACAACGAAAGTTAGTCTTTAAAGTGTGATCTCATTTACACGGACAAGGGAAAAAGCTAAGAATTCATTCTAATAATTATTTTTTTTCAATTTTCTAGTCAATCATGTTTTACTGCGTTAAATGGATCTGGAAATCTACCCATGATAATCGTTTCTTCGGACTACTCACAAAATTAGATAAAGATAAAAAAAATTTGAACCAATATAGTGAAAATGAGAGGATAACATTGGTTCAATCGGTTGCTGATCTTTTATTTTCCAATAATCCCTTTTACAATAATATTATTTTCATGGAGTTACTTTGCCTGATTCACTTGCTTCTTCAAATTTGGATAACTGACAGATTCCTTAGCGGCAACTTTCACTATCTCGGTATCCTTTGGCTTGAGTCATCTTATAAAGTTAAAAGCATTACTTCACTTTTTCTGTCCACCTCATCGTCCGAATCCTCATCACACTCTTTAGATTCATTCAATGCAAATGATCCCTTGTTGCACATCTTTCCTCGGATGGTCAAGTGTACATTGAAATTTTATGGACCTTCCGGAGATCCGAGTACATATGATGGCCTTTGTTTCCTCGCTGCCAACTCTTTGAATGAAAAGGTTTACCTCTCCCAATGGTTTTTTTATCATTTTACTCTTCTTTTCATCATCATTGTCCTTACTTGGCGAACATTGATTCTCTTGGTTCCTCCACTTCGATCATTTGCACTTTCCTTTACAAGTTCATCGCATATTGCCCAAAATTATTGGTGCCTATTGGAAAGTCCAGGGAATTGGTTTCTACTTCATATACTTTCCTCGTTGCTACCAGTGTCCCACTTCAAAGACCTAATGGATGCTGTTGTTGAATCTCATTATGACAAATATGGAAATCCTTTATTCAACTCAAGATATCAACTTTTGACTAAAAAAAAGGGTTCTAATGAAGCTGAGAATAATGAAGGAAGTAATAATTCAGACCATAAAGACCAGAAAGAAACAAAAGACTTCGAAATTATATGGCCCGATGATTGTACATTTTAAAATGTATTAGTAATGTTTTTGTGATACTTCATTCAAAATAAATGAAATAAGACAAAAGAAAGTATTTTATTTTGCAAAATAAGTACATTTTCTGGTTGATCATCCGAAATTCCGAACTGACAATAACCAAACATAGTCTAGGTGAAAGGTCATCTAAAAAAACCTACAAAAATTCTATCAAATCTCTGGCTCACTGACTTCACTCAAAATGAATGAAATAAGACAATTTTTTAAAATACATTCACAAATTAAATCTATCATATGTAATGTACCGGGTGTGGCATAAGTCAGGTACAGCATATTTTCGTGAATAACTTTTGCACCGATAGAGATATTTCAAAACGGTTTTTCTCATTGTAATCAGCGCTTTTTCGGTTGTCATTTGACTATATGCTGGAAGTGCCAACCTTTACTAGCGATCGTTCTGACACGAAAAACGCAAAATATTGTCTCGCAATGAGAAATTCGAGAATTGAAGTTTTTCTTCCTACGCCTTTATGGCTTAGTTGCAAGGGTGTTTCGACCCTTCGTGGCACTTGGTTAGTTCCGTTCAGCGGCTTTGATGTCTTCTTTGTAAAGATAATATAGTTTTATAAAAAATTTGCGATCTTGCCGCTAAGAAACGGCATTTTTCAAAATTCGAATTTTTAACGAGAAACTTTCACAGAACTCAACCGACGGCTTGAGAAAAACACCTAAAAAATTTGGCGGCGATAACTATTACAGTTGCTGAGAAAAAGCGGAAAATATGCTGTACGTGACTTATGCCACACCCGGTATTATTATGAGTTTCGTTCATCTGAGTAAACTTAAACGCGTCAGCTTGCAATATGGTGTAATTTGAAAATGTTACTTTAACATCAAAGTCGAGGATAAACTGACGATTACGCAAATCCAGATAACAATCATTCGGTTCGAATAGTTCCAAAGAACAAGTTTCTTTGGTAAAGGGCCAAAACAGAGAAAGCAAAATAGAGAAGGTCAATATTTGCAATATTCGACATAACCAAACCTTGTCCGATTTACCCATTCAGAATAACTAAAGATACTGTTTTCACAATTAAATGCTGTTGTTGAATCTCATTATGACAAATATGGAAATCCTCTGTTTAACTCAGGATATCAACTTTTGACTGAAAAAAAGGGTTCTGATGAAGCTGACGAGGGAAGTATCCCAAGTGGTACGCTTATTTTTTTGGGTTTATATTGTAGAGGATCGAAAATTATTAGACACGTATTTTGGCTTTTTTTGCAAGTGCGCGGCTCGTGATGTAGAGCCCTTTCAAGTCGCGACAGTCAATTCAATGTAAAGCGTATGGAAGTAACTCTAAATTCATTTTAATAAATAAAATGTTTTCTTGCTTATCAAAATAAATTTTACAGCTCCCTTTTGTCTGAATATTATAAGAACTTGACTAAATAATATGAGAACTGTCTAAACATTTTGAGAAGCCGACTAAACATTATGGGTACTTGTCAAAAGTCATCGAGAAATTCTGTAAAGAAAAATAAAGAACTTAATTTTTCAACCAGGCTTTTGGAGCTGTAATTATAATGTAAATGTTGTTGTAACTAGTGAATATCTTCACCAAAATATTCAGGTTGCTACTGAAAGACACAATAAACACATTTGCAACATTTATGAAGCAAACTTGTCAACAAAATGGGCAAAAACGGGTAAAAATCAACTTCTTCGCTATTTAGACTTCATTAGTTTGTAGAATCATGAAAACTGAATCCATATGCGTTAATAAAAAATTTCTATGATCGGTAGTTTTTCCGAGAAAATCGAGGTCGAATTTGAAAATTCGATCGCCTTTTGTACATTTACGCAAGCAGATTTTTTCGTGAAACTCATTTTCCTTATGTAACTTTTTACAATCAGAAAATGAAGTTATTTTAAGGCATAGAATTTTCTTTTTTCCGTAAAACAGGGAAGTTCGATTTTAACTTAAACCGATTGATCTCAGTGACCGTACAGTTAGCAATCTGAAACTTAGTTTTCGTGCATGAAAATTGTTGGTACACAGCCTAGACTAGATACCTTTTTCAATCTACATGTATATACATGCCTCTTGATTTTGGCCATTAACCTGAAAACTTTGAATCTCGATATTTCGAGAATGGCACCATATACAGTCATCGTTTTTTGACCAATCATAAGATTTCATCATGAGCTATTAAATAATATGAATAAATATAAAAAAAATTATAACTAATTCATTTAATAATGCTTGTTCTTCTAACACATCATGAGTAACTATTTATCTTTGTTAATCTGGTATCAAATCAGCTAACCAAATAATTTAGTGTTATAACTTTTTTTGTAGTTTCTTGAATTATCTTAAAACTTCAATATATCGTAGTCCATAATAAAATCTTATGATTGGTTAAAAAACGATGTATGTATGTGATGCAATTCTCGAAATATCGAGATTCAAAGTTTTCAGGTTGATGGCTAAAATCAAGAGGCATGTATATAGATCGAAAAAAGTATCTAGTCTAGGCTGTGTACCAACAATTTTCATGCACGAAAACTAAGGAAGTAATAATTCAGACCAGAAAGACCAGAAAGAAACAAAAGACTTCGAAATTATATGACCCGATGATTGTACATTTTAAAATGTATTAGTAATGTTTTTGTGATACTTCATTCAAAATAAATGAAATAAGACAAAAGAAAGTATTTTATTTTGCAAAATAAGTACATTTTCTGGTTGATCATCCGAAATTCCGAACTGACAATAACCAAACATAGTCTAGGTGAAAGGTCATCTAAAAACACCTATAAAAAATCTATCAAATCTCTGGCTCACTGACTTTCTTGCCAAATCTGGCAACTCCTTATGCTTTAATACACAAAAACTTAGTTAATTAGCTAACGGAGTATTGTTTGCAAAAAATAAACTTAAAGGTGTGTTTAATTATCGTTTATAAGCCTCGAATATTCATTAAAAGTTGTTATCTCGATGTTATTTTTTCCGACTTCCAAACGCGTTTTTCATGCCTTAAGTCCGCACTGGGAAATTTATGCCTGTGGGGACTTTTGCTTGTTTAGATGTCCTCTATCGAATGGCACTTTCAAATAGCTGGCTCACAATGGGCAGTTTTACATAGGCTTTCTGTCACCCTCCTTTACATAAGGCAAACGAAAAAAACTGTTTCCGTAATTGTACAAAAAACCATCAAAGTTTCAACTTTGAACTCGATTTTCACGAAAACTATGTATCAGAGAAACTTTTGAATCACACGATTGAACTCAGTTTTTACGTGTGTACAAACTAACAGAGTCTAAATTTGAAAGAAATTATTTTCCACGAATTTTTGCCCATTTGTGTCAATTTGTGCATTTGTTTTTTGTGTGATTAGTGATCAGTCTTCGTGATTTTGATGGATGACCTTAAGACTCTGTGGCCTAATATTTCAAGAATGGTTAATCATTTTTAAACAATTATTGAATTATAAGTTATTTTGGAGTACAATATTTTCAAATATAAAGTGATTCAAAATCATGCAAAACGAGTTAAATTACGCATATGATGAGGCTGTACGAAAGAGACCGACAGTTGTATTGTTGCTTAAGTCTCGAGATGTAAGAGTTCATTAAGATTTAATGATTAAAAGTCACTTAATGAGCGATAAAATGACTTTTTGAATCGTATTTTGTTAGCGCCATCTGTTTGCTTTTTTTGTATTCAACATTTCTGTTGCTCACCTGACTTTTCATATTTGTCAGTTGTTTATGAAATCGCTTTTGTTCTGCAGTTTTAAATCTTAAGCCTAATATTGTCAATCAATCATGGCATTCATATCTATACCTTCTAAAAAATCTTATGAAGTTGATTTAAATAAACCTTTGAAAAATTGTCTTGCTTCTAATTATGGTGGTGACAATAGTACCTTCAATGCTGAAGCTGTTGCTGAGGAAATCAATCGAATGCGATCTAACTGTATAAGTAAAAATCTTGATCAAAAACATGAACAATCTATTGAATTGCTGGAAAGGTAAGTCTCAATCATAATCTGTTTTTCTTTTCAATTGCTTTCAATCTTATTCTTTTCTTATAGATATTATGATGTAATAACATCTCTGGAGCAGAAATGTCCTCAACATGAGCTGCAAATTAATTTCAAATGGAAAGATGCATTCGGCAGGGGAGGCTCTTTCCTTCTATCGACTAATACATTGTCTCTTTCTAGCATTGTTTATGAAAGGGTCTGTATTTTATTCAATATTGCTGCTATGAAAACTCAGATTGGTTCTATGCTTGCAAATGAAGGTATAAAAAATGATATTTCCCTCAAATTGGCTGCCAAGCATTTTCAATCCGCAGCTGGCATATTCCTTGCTTTACGTCATATTACACCAACAATTGGCCAAGACTTGACATCTGATCTTAATTCTGACGTGCTTAACACCCTCCACACCATCATGTTAGCCCAGGCTCAAGAGCTGTTCTTCTTTAAAGCCTCTAATGATAATATGAAGGATAATATTATTGCTCGTGTAGCCTCTCAATGCGAAGAGTATTACATGGATGCATTGAAACACCTTCCTATCCTAAAATTGGCTGGGATCGAGAAAGATTGGAGTGCTATCTTCTCAATGAAGCAAAGTGTCTTTGCCGGTATCGCCGAATTTCATCAAGCTAATGTCTGTCAAAGTAAAAAGGAATTTGGTGAAGTTGTCGCAAGAGCTCAAAAAGCTGATGATTGCTTGAAAGCTGCCCAATCTAAGGGAGGTGTTTATTTTAACAATTCTTACAAAAATTTCTTACAGAAAGCTCAAAGACTTCTAGAAGAAGCTCGGAAAGACAATGATTTTATTTATCATGCAAGAGTTCCTGAGGAAAAAGCTCTAGACCCTATTGGTAAAGCATCTCTGGTTCAACCTACACCATTACCGACTAAATTCAGGCCTAATGTGCCTGATCCATTTGCCAACCTTCTCCCTCTTGCTATTCAACAAGCTACTCAAAAGCTTGAGTCTAAAAAACAAGAGCTGGTCCACCAAGAAACTGCAACATTGCGTGAGCTGACTCAAACTTTGAATGGAGTTTTGGCCTCTCTTAATTTACCTGCTTCCCTTGAAGATGTTGTCGGAACTGAGTTGCCTGCTTCCATCAGAGAAAAAGCAGAATTTGTGAGAAGACAAGGTGGCATCGATGCATTAGAAAAACTTGTCAACGAGCTTCCTAATCTGTTAAATAGAAATAGGGAGATACTTGAAGTTACCGAGAAAATGTTGGAACAAGAAGAGACAACTGATAACAATTATCGTGCGCAATTCAAAGAGAAATGGTCTCGTTCTCCATCTTCTTCTTTGACAGGAGTCTTTCGGGAACATGTGATCAAATACCAGAGTATAATTCAAAATGCTATAGATGCCGATAAAAAGATTCAGAAAAAGTATAATGATAATAAAGATCTGATCAGACTTCTCTCTCAAGATGACAATGGAATACTAAAAGCTATTCCTGATGGATCAGGTAATGGTTCAGACCTATTGAGCTCTCCAAGTGCCAAAGAATTGAAATCATTAATGAATGAAGTGGATAAACTAAAACGAGAACGAGATGAGCTTGAAGAACACCTGAAAAATGCTGTGTTTGATGATATGAAAGCCAAATTTTCTGCGGCCTTATCTTCTAATGGATCAGTTAATGAAGATGCTCTAGGAGTCGAAACAATTGCTGAAATCTATGCACCGCTACAAAAGCAAGTTCGTGATAGTAGAGCTAAACAAGAAGAATTGATTGAAAGGATTCAACGAGCCAATGAACAATTCTCAAATCTTAAAAGAATGAGTAACCAGGGAGATTCCCATCGTGAAAATTTCCTCACCCGTCTTGTTATTGCTCATGATGCTTTTTCCGAATTAATGACCAACATTGCTGAAGGAACTAAATTTTATAATGACTTGACAACTTTATTGGTTAATTTACAAGGCAAAGTAGACGATTTGTGTTTTGCTCGTAAAACAGAGGCTGAAGAGCTTGTCAAGGCGATTCAAAATGAAATTGTTTCCCGTCCTAATCCAGCTCCACCATCAGCTCCGTCATATCATTCCAAACCCGATGACAAGTCTAAGCCCCCTCGACCACCTCCACCACAAGTCTCATCAGCATCTGCTCCATCTTCGGCATCGGCTCCACAATCAGCCCCAACTTCAGGACCAACACCAAGTTACCCTTTTGCACAACCTTATCCCAATCCTTACCAACCATACTACTATCCTCCTCCACCTCTTCCTCCAACTTACAGCGCTTTCGCTAATCCCTATGCTCCCCCTCAACAAAATCCTTATCCGACTCAACCTCAGCCCAACCAACAGCAACCTCAACCTCAACCTCCTCCCTCTGGTTACCCTCCATACCCGAACCCATATTCACCCTATCCTCAGTATCCTAGATAGACAGCCAGGCCTTTCATCATACAATCAAGAATCTTTTAAATGAAAATGTTACAGTTAATCGCTATTATTTGCCTTGTTCCGATGTATTGTTTTTGATATCCTCTCGTCAAACGGAAAAAACGGAAAAAATGAAGCCAAAGTTGAGTTTGAATAATCAAATTTCAACAAAATTTTAAACTTGATATGAATCTTTATTTAAATTTTAGTTTTTTCCTTGATAAATTGTTCAACATTTATTTCTGTGCACTGAAAGAAGTATTTTAACTCAATTTACTGTGAGAGTTAACTCGCTTTATGAATGTCTAGATTGTCAAAATTATACCATTAAACTGACTTGAAATAATTAATTCAATCCTTACGTTTCTTTATTCAGTTGTATTAAATACTTTCTAACCAAAAATGTCTGCCTTTTTAATTTACAGCAAAACATGTCAACAAAAGTCGAGTTACGTCAAGTCAATAAAATAACAAAAATTGATGCAGATTACGTCAACAATTTCAATGCATGAGTCATAAAAAATCAGATTCTGATTTATTGTTTTCGATACCATGAGCTACAAAAATCTGCAAGATGAGTCAAAATGAGATTGTAATCCAGATTGTTTTGAAAAAATAGCAATGAATGATTAAATATTGACAGTAAGTTTGTAATAAACCGTATCATCTATTCCCTGGATTTCATTCTGTAAGACTAACACTGTGTTTCACAGTTGTATTGAGCTACAAAAATTTAGATAGATGGCGGTAACTGATCCAAATTCATTTCAAAATTTAAATTAAATTAAATTAAAAGCAACCATTTAAATGTTTTCCTCCTCAATAAACGTTCCAATTAATGCACAATTATTAAATCACGTGAAGTTTAATACCACCGAACTGAAAATCCTGAAGAAATCTTCTAGGTTTAAAAAACTTCATTTTCTGAACACAAGTCTTTAACTCAAGATAATGTTGATAACCAAAGATTGAAATATTTAAACCACATCGAAATGAAAGCAATTTTTGAAAAGCATAATTTTTTAATCTCGACAAAAAGATGACCAGTTGACAATAGGAAATTGATATTTACAAGTATTGTTAGTACCATTCAACACCGAACTTCAAAGAGACAATCGACAACTCGAAAAATAAGAAACACTGAGCATTAAAAACTATCATGAACTTTAGTGAAGCGAATGATTTTTCTCAAGCCTTGCAAATCTTACTCATAAATCTCATCCCTTTATCCAAACATTGGTCCCATTAATTTAAATATTTAGCAAAATAATCATTTAATTGCAATTTAAAGTAGTCTTATTACATGGCCGTGCTTGACAGTGACAACAATTTAAGAATTGTAAGAATTTTACTGCTTCTAGAAGTTTCCTCTGATTATTCGTATCTTTATCCCTTAAAGGATTTCTTTCTGCAATGGAAACGTTGAAATATAATTTGAGACCAACGTGATTGTTTAACACTTTAAAGATTAATTGATGTTTGGATAATTGGCAATTAACAAAAAATGTTCATCATTTGGTAAGTTTCATTTCAATTTTTTCATCAAGAAGACATTTTTTGGCCAACAGTAAGTTGTACTTTTTTCAAACGAAAAATTCAATTACCCTTCTGTTCATCAACAACCTAGACTGTTGACAATCTTGTTTCCAATTATATCAACCTTCTTATCAAATCAAAAGTGTAACCCAATTCTTTTATTAAATGTTTTCAATCATATTTATTAGCAATTAATGTTAAACCTCGCAGTGAACTTCACGGAGTTGAGTTTACTTAAACCATAATAAGAGAAATTTTGTCTTTTTTGTTTAATCTTCATTTGTCTATCCTAACACAAGTAGTTTAGTGTGTTAGCTGTTTCATGAGATTTACTCTAATTAATATAAATGTGGTTACCTGATTGTCATCTGTGTCAGTAGCAATGATCTTCACTAATCTTCATCTCTTTTCAGGTTTTATCAAAAAAAGCAAAAATATAAACAAAATAGTCTTCATTGACATTAGAAGACGCTAAAAGACAAAGATGTTTAAACACAATGGAAATAAAAGAGAGCGAAAACAAAGCAATCTATTCAGATGGTGTTTGTGATAAAAAAATAGCTAAATTTTGCTATTTTCACCTGAAAGTCATTAAGTCAGTAAGATGATATACTTTTTGAATAAAGAAATATTAAATCAACTTATTAAACCAGTTCACTATTATATTAGAGGTCTTTTGGATGTCATCAACAATTCAAGTTCACTTGTTACACCAACATAAAACCAGTGAAAGACAAGAAAGGATTCAAAAGATCAACATCAAATATTCATTAATCCAGAAAGGATATTAACTCAATGACTGATAAAGATGTGCGATATGGTGCAATGACTCAGAGGATATTAACCACTTGGTGTTACATTTTTCCAAGTAAAGAGATTTCTATCCGTTCATTAATCCTAGTACTTATTATCGATACTTAATATCAATCCGATTTGATCATATTTCTGGGAAAACAAACCAGCTGATTGACGGATGGAAAACAAATCTTCAATAAAGGCTTCGATTGGAACATGGACCAACATTTAATGAGGTAATTTATCATTTTTATGTCCCATTTTAAGCGATATCGTACATTTGCTAGTAAAGAAGCGATCATTGTATCTAAACCTCTCCTTGTTTCTTCTTTTTTTCATGTTACAGACGGAAATACCTTGAATCCGTTCTTCTGTTTACATCATTTGCATCCCAGACACCTGATCTGAACTGCTTTGGGGCATTAAACTGGTATGCATTCTTGTTTGTATCACTCTCCTCTGTTTCGCCATTTCTTTCTTTCTTTCCATGTGATGGTTATTCAATTCATCAAAGTTAATAGATTTCATGTACTTTTTTATTACCCTGAAGATGTAGAAGCAGAACGAGATTCTGGTTTGCTCTCTAGATTCCAGTCAAATGATTTCCGTCCAAATCCAAGCCAATCATCATTACAATCATAATCAACATGATTCTTCTTTTTATTTCAGATAATGCTCAAGGGTATCAATTTACGTGGTACATTTAGCGCCTTACCTGATTCCGTGTGCAAGCTTTATTAGCAAATTGGTATATTATGCAATTTTAACTCATTGAAACAGTTAAACTCTGGATAATGGAATCACAAAAGTTTAAATTAAAGGTTTATATCTCCATGATGGTGCCTAGACTTGAAATTGTTACCACTGACAGTACCTGATCATCATTCATCATCCAATATTTATGCAAATAAATTTGTGTTTAATGTAAATAATGATAAGTTTGCTACTTTTTTGGCATTTTAATTTACAACAAATTTTTCTCAACAAAAATTGTGTAAATTGAAATGAAAGTAGATAAAACGAGATCATGAAAAAGATTGGAAATATGATGCATTCCATTATTAACCGTTCATTAGCTGTTGATAAAGACAGATTATCTCAGAGTTTTAGAATCACCTTACAGTTGGTCAAGTAAATCTTGATGCTTATTCAAGAAGCTAAATCTATCACATTTATCTTGATAAATCTCTTTTATTGAAATGATGTTCTCTAATATTTTTTGTTCTCCTCTCTTTAACCATTACCTTTCTAGGTAAAATCAACATGGCCATCAACAGATCATGATTCGTGCAAACGGGAATAAAAGGAGAACCAAAATCTCATACTGTTATTATTTGTATACGTTATTACTATCATCATCCGTAAATGATCTGTCAAATATGAAGTTTCGCTGTATTATTGTGATGGAACCACTTTTTATTTTGAAAGGCACAAAGCCAAAGGAACTCAACTGAAACTGTTATTTATGACATTGGAATAAACCACGATCGATTCGAATGGCAGGAGCAAAAGATGCAAAAATCATTTCTTGATATGATTTCTAGAAAAAATGATTCACTCAAGTAGTTTGCCTTTGCATAACTATGTTAGGCAAATTATCATAGTCTAGGTGCGTATTTAGTCTAACTATAGACAAGCTAAATTGAAGCTAACCTTTCTTGAAGTAGACCTTCTTACAGGTAGACGATTAACAGAGAGAAAGAGAAAAAGTAAGAAGTTTAAAATGATAGCTTACTAGAAAAAAGCACTTCTAAAGTTGCCTATTTTTTTCAATTAGGTCTACCCAAAGTTAGATTAAAGCTATAATTTTGCCCAAATGGAATCTCATTTTCATTTTTATTCCTCTTTCTACCTTTCTAATTTACCTTTATTTATTTCTTTCCTTCACTAGATGAATGTCAACTACCAGCATTTTCAACAGTAAAGTACAGTATTGTATGAATATCCAAATTTTGTGTGTTCTTGGCCTATCTTTCAACTTAAATAAGGACCACGCCGTTGTATGTTGGTGGCCTAAGGTTGTGTCAACCTTTAAGCTCATCTGTAATTATTATCATTATTGTTACAATATGTAACCTCTTATAACAGTCAGTATTGTTCATTTTTTCATTTATTGTTCTCCTTTTTTTGTAATTACATTCTAGATGCATCGTGTTACTCAATGTTGAAAACATCTGATGGTTATTTTACCTAGAGAATGCACAATGATGTCAGTGTGGTCCAGAGACAACAAAGGTAAACAATTTAAATTAATGGAATCCAAGAGTCACAATTAACATGAACCCAGCCAAGTGTGCTCAATTTGCCAGGGTTAACCATAATTTTGTGATTCTTTTGCCTGGATTTCAACCTGAATCTTATCTAAGGTGTAGTTATTTAATTTGCCTCACTCTCTTACTTTCAACTTTCAACAGCAAAGTGTCAATAACAACATGATGAAAGAAGGCAAAAAATGAGATGAAAACATTTACATCCGGAACAATGATTGGAAGGAAAACAAAACTCTTTCATTCTGGTCCAACATCACACTTGAAGACAGAAGACAAATCAACTGGAAACAATCGAAAACTTCATCTCATCTCAATTTTATCTTCATTACAAGGCATTTGTGTCATGATCATCTTTGAAAAATGATTTTACAAGCCCAAAGGTCAATCAAATAAATTAATTCAACGACCAAAAAACAAACAAGCTTCAAGTCCAACCTATTTTTGTGTTCAATAATTTCAATAACAAATATGCGAATGGAAGGAAGAAAAAAGATGATGAAAGATGAGAAAAAGCAAGTTAAAAAAAGAGAAATATTTCTTCTTATTTTTGAAATTAATTGTAAGCATTAGTAAACTTTAAAGAAGAGGATAAATGATGAAGCGTAAGATGGACTGGTACGCCCGTCAACCGATACCCTGTGGCCTTTTTTTTAAAGAAGTGTTTACCAATATCAACATCATCATCATCGTCAAATCCAACCGAGAAAAAAAAGAAGATTTAAAGAAGATAAAGATGATGATACAGAGAATGATCAAGAGAGAAACAAAAAAACATCTTAAAATCTAGAAGTTCAATCAAATTAACTCTCTTTTTCATCTTCACTATCATCGCACCATCATCCTCGCCATCATCTTCAATGCTCATCTTTTACCCAAAACCTGCTAACCCATCAAAGTTCATCATCCATTTGCTTCAACAGATTTCATTTCCGTACCAAGTTGAACAAGTTTAATCGATGGCAATATTTATTGATACCAATCATAATCTTTCATTCAATGGTAATATTTATTTCTTGCTTTTTATTGTTATTATTTTAGCCATCATCATCATTTTCATCTTTCAAATCGCTATCTGTATATTGTATTATCTTCATGGTAATTCGTGAGGTTCTTGAAAAACAGGGAGAGAAAAAAGAGAAGGGAGAAAAAATGATTATAAATCATGAAAAACTATTAACTATCAATTAATATTACCATTAAATGCATAAGTAACAATTAACTGACTAAATTAAAGGTATCATTAAATTACTTCTACTGTCTATAACCTTTGGGTCAATCAGTCAATCAGTCAGTCAGTCAGTCATTTAACCGACAAAATATAAAAACCAATCCACGGAAATAAACTTCCTGATGAAAGAAACAAAAACAAAACTGAAACGGGTAAAAGGTAAAGACTTTTTGTTGCTTGAAATGTTTTCTCATCCAATCTTAATTGCTATTGATTTACCAAATATAAATACAATGATCATCATGGGTGTGGTTGAGGCCACTTGAAAAAGTGGGCTTTGCTCGATTAACTATAATACTTGTGTAACAATTTTTTCCTGTTGAAAATGGATATAAAAATCTAATATGAAATATTAAATTAAAACTGATTTTCCTTTTTTTTCATTCATTTCTGTGGGAATTTTAGCTAAAATGGTTCAATGGGCAAGGAGTATAATAATGTTAGCAAATAAAATAACGCCAGTTTGGATTATTAAAAAAATTAATAGCTAAAAATGGATTTAATAATTAATTTTGGCAAAAAATTTGCTCCTTCCATTGATTTTAAATTTCGCTCTTTACGCTATTACCGCGATAAAATCACATGTCATCATTAACATGTGATATACTTTTTTGTTAACAATTGTTTCTTGATCGTTTCCTTTGCGTTGATAATTTAACCAAAAATGTGTCCATTCTCCTATTTTCCGGTTTTACCTTTGATTGTTGATTCTATTGTGATGACAGTCTGCTAAAATGTGTTACATTCTCATAGTTAACACAATATTTTGCCCGTGTAATCGACATTCGCCTATTTCTTGCAAGTTTCCGTTAGTCAACTCAATCAACTATGCGTAATTAATTTTAATTATTGTCTGGATCACAATGGATCTTTCCGGCCACTCTATTGGTTTACCTTGACTGTTATTATAATGGTACATGTACTATTATATTCAATACCTTATGTAATGGTATTAATTATCATAGTCAATCTCAAAAGCCGCAACTGCAAATCTCCGATTGACGCTTCTCTACAAGGGAAATGGTAAAGAAACTCAAGTAAATTTGGCAACAATGGAGGAGCAAAGTTAAATACCAGCGATCTGCTACCGTGCAATGTTAACCTTAATTAAGTTTAATCACGGTATTCAAATTAATCAAGTCAACTTCTGTTGGTTGTTATACTTTGGTTATAACCTCATGAAATCATATTCACAGCCTGACCAGCACCACCCTGTTAACATGAACAAGTTAGGAAAAAACTGAAGGGAAAAAATGAAATTAAAGAAACTAACATCAAATTGTGTGGTTGGTTGGTTACATCTTGTTGATTGTATTTTGTGTGTTAAAGTGAGAGTGAAAAACATCTTGTTTGGGTAAATCACGATTTGCTACTGTTTTCTTTACCATTATTATTATTAACTTTATCGTTGAATGAATTGAAATGAATGTGGAATATTGAAATACATGATAACAAAAATATTGGACTCTGAAAACCACTAGAAACTGATAACGAATCAATACCAAATGAAGTGCAACAAAGTGATATTTCATCTCAACAGCCAGTGAAACGTTTTCTATTGTAAATATTGTTATTCCTTCATTTTGCGCTTCTTGGTTGTTTGATTACTTTACAAAAACCAATAGATATTTTCATCATCATCATCATTAGCGATACAAACAACAACAACAGCAACTGCAACAAGTAACATCAATCTCATCTTCATCATCATTTTTTATGCTTTCCTTTTCTTTTGATTGTTTCCATTACAGTAACAACGCCAACCTACAAGTTCAATCAATTTTGAAGTTGAAATAATCGGGAATATACTTGAAAGTTAAAGTTGTAAAACATCGGCAAGAATCTTTATATAACACGAATTATAATTAAGAAACAGCCTCTGGAATCAAAATGATCTGCGGAGAGAACGGCCAATTTACAGTGAAAGGCACTCCTTAAAAATCGTAAATTGCTTTGGCCAAGAGGTTGAGGGAGATGATCAAATCTCTTAACACTTGTGAAAAAAGAGATGAAAAGAGCCAGAAGAAGATGATCAAAGAGAAGGAGAAAGGAAGATCAAGGTCATGAGATCAACCTCCGTGGCGAAATTTACTTTTGGTCAATTTTTACTTTCTTCTGATACCATTTTCCCTGCAAAATATGATGATTATTATTGTTATTATCATTATTTTTCAAGCAATGACTTTTTGATGCTATCGATAACAGAATGAGAAGAAAAATGTTCAGAGGCTACTTTAGGAGCGGCTTGTGTATTGTCGGCTTTATCCTCATCTTGATCATCTTAATTCTCAATCTTTGTTTTCTCATTTTCAATACAAATGTTAAATTGTTTAACTTATCATTTGGAAATTAATTGAAAACATACAACTGAATTAACGATCTACTTTGGATTGGCTTAATGTAAACACCAACCTTAACGAGAAACAAACTGATAACTCAATGGATAACTCAACATTAAACGATCATTTGCTTGATATTGGATTGTTTTGGATGCTGTCTAAATGGTTATCAATTGACGATTGGCAAGGAATCCAGCAAATTATCAAATTAGATTAATTAGTTTAACTGAAAGTTGGCCGATGAACGATTAATATTGTTTGACAGTTTCTCGAAAGTAACCTGTTAAGGTGGAGAAGGTAACCAAATAAGATCTAAATATAAAATGATATTAGGTAAAGATTGGTAACTGACCCAGTGGACTGGAAATTGCTGGTTAATTCCAGAACCTAAATTGATTTAAATCAACTAAAGCCATCTCCACTAATCATTAGATGACCCTTCACCGTTCCCAGCATCATCCACACAACCTGATTTGTGACCTTTTCAACTTGCCCATTTCTTGGAAATAAATGCATAAAGATTTAACTTATTAAACCAAAATAATTAAGCTTCTGATCAATCCTAAACTAACTGTCAATTATCAATTAAGTCAGCAATACAAGACAAATAATAATTATAATAACTGATATCATCCCAAATGACTAATTTTTGTAGTTCCAAAGAGCAACATTTCAAAATACCCAAATTGAGTGATAAATGAAAACACATGACTAAAGATTAATACTGAACAATCAAAGTCGGCTGAATCGAGACTCAATCAAGCAGAAGATTTACTGAAAAATCAGAAAAATTGAGCCACTGAATTATGATTACAATAATATCTTAAGCTTAACAAGTCTTAATTTGACAAAATCCTTCGTGATTTATTGATTTATCTCACGATGAACCTAGACTTTTCATGTGATCAAAGTTGTACTTTGATCATGCAAATTAACCCAATTAATCGAGTCATCAACATTCACAATTTGAATATTTTCTGGTCATTTGCAGAATTTAAATTCTTATGACTTTTTTTTTGCTCATTGATCAATTGAAATAGGGTCAAGGATGTTTTTCAGTCTGCATGGGCCAGTCAAGGTTACCTAACAGGTTTGACTTGTAAGAATTAAATTTAATGATGATTCCGATCATCAATTGAATTCCGATGTCTTTTTTTTCTTCTTCTTTCATCGCCATCTTTATTGAAATCTTAATGTCTATTTCATCATTGACCTTATAATTACAAGTCTAGTTATAGTTGATCTATTTACATGACAACAATAATTCATTGAGAAATCAATAAATTGCTTTTTGTGATCATTTTTGTCTTATTTGTTTCTTACTAATGACGTTTGAATCAATTTAAATGATTATATGGTAACATCATTAACTTGTATTTTGTATTTAGATGAAAAGATATTTACATAAATAACAATTTAAACGGTTATTAGAGACAATTTAATTTATTAATGAACTTCTCTTCGATATTAAATTATTATTCATGCTACTTTATCATAGTGTGTAGATGGATAGATAATGTAATATTTGTCTCTAAAATGTATTACATGATTCACCCATTGATTTGTTTTTATCGTTTATTAATGAACAAGTCTGAACATTCTATCTTGATCCATCAGAAAAATCCTTGTGAATTATCAGTTAAACCATATTAATACAATTAATAACAGTTAATCATCAACTACCATCCGTAATGATAATTACAGTGTAACACTTTTGAAACAACATATTGGGCCAAAACATTGACTTTCAAGCAATATTGAAGGTTATATTATAATACAATCATAACTAGTTTATTGATTTTATGAACTTTGCTCAATCAGTGGGTTATTCAAATGAAGAAAGATTTGTTTTTGTAATAAGTCATTTATTGGTTAACATTATCTTGAACTATCTATTACAGTTGTCTCAATATTAAAAGATTAATCCTTTTTTTTGGTTATATCATGTTATATAATGCTATAATCATGTGATGGTTAGTTTGCTAATGATGTCGATGCAACTAATAAGAAAAGTAAAACTATGAACAGATGATTGTTTGTTATAGAAATTTAAATAAGTTAATTAAGCTGCTATCAGCTATCTCCTTCCTTTTTGTTGGCTTCATTCTTGTTTTTCTTTGTATCTTGTCTCGATAAACTTCCATCAAAAAATGAATCAGTCTTTTTCACATTGTTGGTCATCAAAATCATTTCAGTCGGTATCTCGGCATCCTTTGTAATTTGTTTAGCCAAAGCTTTACCAACATCAGTTCCAATGATTCCAGAGGCCTTTTCCATTTGAGATGCTTTCACAGCCGATAAATATAATTTACGAGGGAGCTGAAGATATGTTGTAGTCTGTACAAGTTCAACGGTAAAATCAGGTTTGTAAGATAATCCAGTTTCGGAGTCAGGTGGAATATCACTTGTTTTTAATGCATCAACACCAAAGCATGAAAATGGCCCAGAGAAAAAGGAAAGACCTTCTTGACCGGCAGTAACTTGAACACGGCCTTCCAAAATCATAACGAAATAGTCAACTGATTTATCTTTAGTATAAAGCTTGAAGTTTGGTTCTGTAAGGAATAAAAAATGAAAATCAATAAATTATTGAAAATTTTGTGCAATTTGAAATCTTGTAGTTTCTCCATCTAGATGCAAACAATTTAAATTCATAATAAGGCAATAATGTTGGCAGATTTATTGATATCCAATTAGTAATATATTGAGGACTAATGTTTCATTGTTTATGTTCAATAAATTATCAATAGGTTTACTACAAGTAAAACGTAAAAATAAAAACTCAATTTTCAGCAATTAAAACATTAACAACAATTAGGAAAAATAGTTAGCTGCACTTGTTTCTAATGGAAATCATGAGTAATTTACGTGGAAATCTTGCTTTATTTGGCTGATTAAAGCTCGCAAAAGACTAAAGCCAGTTAAACATGTGAAAAATATGAAATAGAAGAAAAGTTTAAGCTTACCTTTTTCATCTCTATCAGGGTCAACAACATGCTGGAAGTAAATTTTTTGACCCAAAAGACGACGTAAGACAGAGGGAGTTAGATGCTCAGGAGTAAATGGTGGGCAAGATGATGATAAATACTGGAAGGCTGCAAGAATCATTTGAGGAGAAACAATTGTACCATCTTGACCTTCGCCAATTCGAGCAAATTCATTCAAATCGGCTGATTCGGGTTTAGCTTTACGACGCTGTTTCAATCGGTTATCTGTTATGATATCGGTTTCATCTACAATCTCGGTTTGTAATATTTCTTCAATAACATCTTCCAATGTTACAACCCCGATAATCTCATAATAGGGATCAGTTGTATCCGAATCATAAAGGTGACGAACAAATGATAAATGAGATTTTCCCTCTTTAAAAGCTCCAAGAGCCACATCCAAAGTGGTATCATCAAAAGTGTAAATCAAAGGATGCTTGTAATATTCAATGACAGTTTTTAACGGCATATTGTCATCTGGGTCAACGAAAGCCAAATCTTTAGCATAAAACAAAGCTACAACATTTTTCCTATCTTCACGGTAAACAGGAATACGAGAGTAACCTGACTTTTGAATTTTGGAAACAGTTTCAAAGTCTAATTTTGCAGATATAGGTAACATGAATACATCTTCAAGTCGAGTCATAATTTCAGCAACAGTTTTCCTCTTCAATTCCAATGCACCTGAAATAATGTTAACCTCTGATGGCTCCAATTTATTGTAATCTTTGGTAACACGGATGAACTCCATCAGCTTTTCACGATCATAGACAGCACCTATTTCTTCACCTAATGCCCAGTCCAAAATTTTTGAGATTGGGTAAGAAAGGGGTGAAGTGAGCAACATGAAGAAATACATAATCCAAATTGTTTTGGCACCAATAGCCAAACCATGACGAGAGCAGATAGCTTGGGGAATGATATCACCAAAAATGGTGATAGCCAAGGTTGAAGCTATAACAGCAACGGTTCCTGATGACAACTCCTCAATTAAAACAGTGACAGTGGAGTTGATGCAAACATTTGAAAGTAAAATGGTACAGAGAAGGAAATTACCACGACGACGAAGAGGTGCGATTGCTTTGGCATGGGCCTTTTCCGAATCTGATCCCTTGATGGCAACAACCTGCAACTCGTTTTTATCCAATGACATTAAACCCAAATTAAGACCGGCAAACAAAGCAGTCAAACAAAGAAGAATGATAATGGCGATAATATGTAACCAAAGGGGTAAAACTCGACCTTCAACCTCAAATGTTATCCATGGATCGTTACCTTGATGATACCAACCAAATTGATGACTTTCATCGTGATTTTTTGCACACATGTAAAGCTGACCGCTTTGTTTCGGAAGGCTCAAACTGATGAACCCCATGTTATCAGATATGTAAGAAATTTTAATAGAATCAGTTCTTGCAAAGTCATCACATGACCGGTGCTCATTGTGCATTGGATGAGATGTTAACGCTATAATAGTTTCATTGCTAAGGTTAGTACCAAATAAACGGACCGGAGTATTTGTATCGGCAAAGATAATGTTGATACCTTCATTGCTGATCTTTGCTTTTTCTTGCTCAGCATGAATACCAGTTATAGATGGAATATCTCCAGGTGCATCAGCTAAAAGATGGTAATAAAATTATAAAACACACAACAATTAAACTCAAAGAAAATTGGAATCTCGATAATGGAAAGTAAACAAAATGATCAACAGTAAAAACAATTTTTCTCTAATAACTAACACTTTTATCTGTCCAATTAACCAATCAACGAAGGAGTTTATTATCTGCCATCTATTGGAAATCAATCTTAAAGCTTTCTTTGTAATTTTATGTAACTGTTTCAAGTCTCTGTGAATTAATTTCTGCCGATTACTAATCAAATTTGATCATTTAATAAATACGACGATTAGCTCAAATATTTGTCCTTTGATCTACCGGTTAATCCAATCAAATGCCTTTCATAGTTCCCTGTTATAACTTTTTTTGTCATGTTTATTTTTGCAGCTACAAGTGGATGTATCAAGTCAACATGCTATCAACATAACAGTTTCAAATATAAATTCCATGCTGCTGATTATTTATCAGCAATACATGTTTCAATGCCTGAATAGGAATGCTATCAAATCTTTATTCAATCATCATGACCAGAATTTTCATTGAAAATATTTATGTGGAAGCTACAAAAATTTGAGAAGACTAAAAATGGCTGTGAATCAAATCTGTCCCATTTATAAACATTACCTAGTCTGCTCAGTGAATTTGTAAAATCACAGGATAACCGTGTAATCATTTATGAATTTCAAGATTGAAATCACTCCAAATTCATTTTGAAAAATATGAAAACTCTCATGTTATTAAACATTACAGCATAATACATCAGCTAGAGATAGACCGAGAAGTTGGTTTCTGTTCTTAAGATGAGGACAAACACAGATTCCAATGATAATAACTCAAGTGAACCCATCTTTGATAAAGCAAAATATCATAAAATAACATACACAGAAGTACTATTAGAATCACTGATTGCCAGCGATTTCAATCACAAGATTTCTATGTCTGAGTTGAGAAAATAATATCAGGTAAACAAGAACATTGATTTCTATAAAAATTTGACCCTAAAAGGAATGAAATGAACAAAGAACAATGAACTTTAACTTACCATAGAATGGATTGACGACACCTGAATCGATCTGGACTTTTGAAAACTTGTCAATTGGGATTCCATTGGAATAAATTAAATACGATAATAAATTAACGAGAATCAAGTAGTAATTGAATTGTGAAAGCGGGGTTAAACATTGGCTTAAGCTTCGAGTAGCTGTTGGCAATGAAAATAACTTAAGGTTTACCATGAGTTGGATAGTTTGTGGTGGACTGTTTTATTTACCACTCGGTGTTGTCTTATATTTATACGAATTGTGTTACAGTTAACTCTAATCAGCTAATAAACAATTATCATTGTAATTATTCTTGAAATGCATTAGAGTGAGAAACAAAGATAATGTCAGAGTGAGAATCTAATGATAAAAAAATGGTTGAAGGTGGAGTTATAATTTTTGCAGTTACAATTATCACAATTGTGTAAATTAAATACTAGAATAGTAACCTTTAAGGCCAAAACTAATAAAATACAGAACAATTAACCAACAATAACAATACAATTGTATTGGCAAATGACTATATAAACGGTAAAAGTATGAAGATTGAAACCCAAAGTCAACCCAAAATTGAAAATCTGGTTAAAGCATTAAAACCAAAGCAGCTTTCAAGATACACTTTACATCCATTTTACTGTATATTTAGTTATGATCCAAACTAAATTTTTCAATGGTTGGATTGATTAGTAAATTGGGCCTTTGATTATAATTGTATAACGTCAAATTAAGGCTGATTGATGTCATGATGAGCCTTTTCAATTGAAGTTAAATAAAATGATTCACTCAATTAGATTAGATTTGCTATTTTATTAAGGCTCAGAGACTCAAAATTTGTCTTTACCTTTACTAATTAACATGAATTAGTATAATTAACATTGTAAATTGTTCATATCTGATCGTCTTCATTCACAGATCTAGATTGTCCTTGGGTAACAATTGTTAGATTATGGCAACAATTCAAGACAATTCATGATCATGTCATGACATATCATTGAAAAGCCAATTTTGCCAAATTCGGTTCATCACAGTTAAAATTATTACTGATTCAGTTATTGGTTAAACTTAGATTTTAACCTGACAATTAGCGAAAACAATCAAATCCAATTGAACATATTGAATCACTTACCTCAACTTGCCAAATGATAAAAATGATAACACAAATCCTGAACAATAATCATAAAATTGAAAATCTTCACCGGTTAATCCAATCCAATGTCTTACCTTCTAATCATTAACCTTCAGAAATTAACCAACGCTTAGCATATCTGAGCTGCAATTAAATAATCGACTGTAATAATTGTAAAGGATCAATGCAACTAAATAAAGATCAACATGTTAGATTAGAGTAAAAGATTGAACAATTTCATCTAAATTGTTTCATTATTGATCCGTTTTTTTGCATGAAATTTCAACCGAAAAAAATTTCAAGATTTTGTTAGTTTGATTGTTGGTTTAAATAAAGATGGACAAGATTTAATTGTTGTTTGTTTTGATCTTTTATTGTACAAAGAAATAAAAAGACATGAAAATTATCAAGTTTACCCAGTAAAAATGATGCATTGATACAATCAACTGTTTTGAGCCTTAATTGTAATACATTAGGACAAAGATTTCAATTGTAATCCAGAAAAATATAGAAACTTGTAAATGTATATTTTTATATAAAAAAGTGTTCATTTTGGTGAAAACCAAATGTAAATTGAAAGGTTTACTGTTACAATTGAAATATCAAACACAGCGAGTATATTAACCTTTTATACGTTAGTTACACTTTTGCTTTCCATAATCATTTTTAACCAAACAATTAAAGTCAATTGTTGGTTTCGTAATTAACGTATAAAAGGAAACCTTTGCAATTAATAAGATCGCATGAGGTTGATATTTTTGTAACTCAACAATAGTGATTAAAAGAGGCAAATTTAGGGTTAAATTGTATCAAAAAATAAAAACATGATATTGCCATTGAACCCAAAAGTGAATTGAATTGACTTGAATTGTGTTTGTGGGTAAATAGGGATAAAAAAGGTTGTATATTTCAAGATCAATGTGTAATTAAAATTGTATATTTGGTAAGGGAAATGGTCAAGAGGAGTTGGGCAGTGAAAGGGTAAAAGGTTGGGACACGGTAAAGATGGTGAACCTTTGACATTAAATCTCAAGTTAAGATTGTCAAATGATTGAAATGCACTTGGAGCCAAAGAGGTTGATCAACATTGGATCCAGGTTTAGATCAATTTGGGTTCACTTTGTCCATCTTTAAGGTGATTTAGGGTTTAAAGGAATCAAGAAAGGTTAATCAATGGATTAACCAATCTTTGAAACAGTAAACAATGTTCATAGAACATACAATTAACTGATATATCATTGATATATGGGAATTGATTCACCAAATTTTTTAGCCTGGAAGGTTTCAATTTCATTGTTACATCTTACATCTGCTTACAGTTGCGTTTAATTTTTCTTGATTGTTGCATGTTTCCAGTTAGTTAATCACAGAGGTTTAAAACGAGGTTTAACTTGAATATTAAAGATCATTGGAAACTCATGTTGCGTGTTCAAGGTTCATGATCTGATTGTGGCTTGCAATTAATTTTCATACCAATTAATTGTTAAGGTAAATAGTCTAATTGGTAACAATTATTAGGGCAACATGTTGTTTAAAAGATGTAATAATGAAATGAATGAATTACCTTTGTATCCAGTTGAGGCTAAAAAATTGATAAAGTATAAAAACCAATAAACTAAATGGTTATTATTTGAGTTTTTGAAAATAAACAAAAAAATGAATTTAGGATTTTCTTGGGATTCGGGGAACATTTGTTTCATGACTTTGTCCATGATGAATGAAAAGTATTCATTGAATGTGAAAAATGAGTGAATGAGGGATGAAAAAATGTAATTCAATCAAAGTAACTCTTTGAATTGAATTTAGTAAATTGTTAACCATTGCATTTACACTAAATTTCATACGACCAACCATAGATGGCGAAGGTTTGTTCAACAGTTACATCTCAATTGTCTAATCTAATCTAATTGTGATTACACAAAACTAATTACTAATTAGTTATCAAGTGAAATCCTGATGGGAGTCATGAAAAGATTAATCCATCACCGAACAAGATGAGCAAATATTTTGGCTTAAATTGAAAAACAAAAACAGTCTTTGATACTGTCTTTTATCATGTTGGCAATGATATTGATAGTTGAGGTAAACCATCAAGACTGTTCAAGATGAACGCAACTGTTGAGGGACTTTGAGGTGGGTTTAGAGGGTGGTTTGATGGGTTATCGTATGATGGTCAGTAGTGAATTAGTGTTATGATTGGTTAATGAAACAAAAAAAACAATACGAATAATACCTTCGTTTGTTGACAAAAAATTGATACGTGATGAGAGACACTAATGTGTCTACAGTTACCAAGTGATTTACAAATTTCCAGGGAAACCAGCCTGGAAAAGAGTGATTCACTTTTAAATTGTGATGATTTCTTTATCTTATAAAAAACATGATTAGGTGGGTTGGTCAGTTTGTTGAGGCGAAATGTTGCGCTTAAAAACAGTATGGCTGACAGAACTGGTAAACAAGCCTTTGACTTCTCTCTGTCTTCTTCATGATTCCCTTCTTGTAATATTGTCGAATGGATCGAGATAGTTTATCATAATTCATGGCTGGACGGTTCTTTCGTCGACCCCACAGTTTGGCCACTCGAACGGAATCTTCAATCTTAAAGATACCCTTAGTACGGTCCAACCAGCGGATACAGCTTCCATACTGTTGAGGTTGACTCAAGAGTTCCTTTAAAAATTGCCACAGATGAATATGAGAACCGGTATTACGGTTTGACCCATTGACAGGGTTTCCGGGACTTGAGGTGGAGGAAGAGGAGGATGACGATGATGACAAGACTGAACTGGGAGAGGAAACCTCGCAAGCTCCATCTTGACTGAGTTCATCTGTGAGAACAAAAAAGAAACGGAAACAAATTAGACAAACGCAGCAAAAAAGAAATGATAAAAATGGACATTTTAGGTTAAATTCATGTGCTACCAAAACTGGTCTCATATCGCAAATTAAATTGTTATTATTGAAGTGATTGTTGTACATTGTTTTTGTCTTCAAATGTATATAATTAGGCAAAAAAGGTTTTTCAATTGTATGATAGTTTTACAGTTTCAGGTGATCAATATCAATGTTACTCAATGGTTTACCATTGTTTTCAAGTTGAACATGATGGCAAACAATAGATAATACCTTATTAAATAGGTTGGTTTTGTTGTTAAATCATTGAGTTTACAGTTATGATAGGTTGGTGATCATCAGGTTTGATTGTGGTCAAGTGGAAAACAATTATTGATAAACAATTTTTAAGGTCAAGATGTGTTAAAGTTTTGAGTAGCTTTCTGTTGCCAGTTTAAATTACATACAATCAAATTGGAAAGGTGAGATGATGATGATCTTTATGAGAGCATCTTTTTTTTAACACTCACCTTCAATAGGGACTCGTTACTCACGATTAGGTTGAAGATGGTCATTATGATGGTGATGATGATAGGAAGAAGATGAGATCAAGAGAAGATATTACAATCACGAACTCTTTTCTTTCCTCATCACCATCAAAAATAATAGCATATAAATGATACACTTATTATTGATTGACCAGCAATTTAAATGAAATTCATTTTCATTCAATTATAAGCCTAATAATGGCAAAACTGTAAACTCACAAAAGTGGTTCATTGAAATAGATCATTCAAGCTAATTATTAAATTGTTGGATGACCATTTTGAGTGGGACTTTGCAATGAAACAAAACCATTGACATTACGTTGACATAACATTGACTTACATTGAAATTAGATTGAAATTAATGAATTTGATTTAGAAAAGGTATTTTTTAAATTCACTTTTCATCTTATTCACTATTAATATTTTTTTCATCATTATATTAGGTTGTCCGGCTCAAAGTGGCGGAACTTTTATTTTGAATATTTCATTTATACCTGAATCAATTCAGTCAATTTTTTTAAAAATAATTTAAGTAAAGATTCAGAATTTTTTTGACACATCTTAAACCCTTTAGACATTGGTAATTCGAAAGTAATTAGATAAAAATCGAAAAATGGCAATTTTGTAAATTTCGAACTTTGTGGCTTTATAGCGTTGTTACCGATGAAAAATTTTTCAAAGTCATTTCGTCTAATTATAGTAATTGGGTTGATTAAAAATCACTTTTCTCAATTTTTATCCTGATCACCAAGTTTTCGAGAAATGTTCGATTAAAAAAGTTTCTATCGCGAGCAAATCACAGGGGGGGACCCTTGGTTTTTTAGAAAATTTTGAGTCGCACGAAATTTCATTTTTTTGATTTTTTTCCAATAAATTTCGAATTAGAAAACGGAAAATTATAAATCATGTATCATAAAAATTCTGCATCCTTCCTTATATGATTAGCAAAAGAATTGTTTTAATTGCTTCGATTAACAATAAAATATTAACATTTAAAGTTCCGCCACTTTGAGCCGGACAACCTAATATTTCGATTAGTATTGACTTTCTTCAGGTAAAAAGAGCAATGAATGAAAAGGTAATTTAGTCTATTGAATGGGAAACCATTTTCTAGGTAATCAATTGTCGATCAACTATTGTTAACATTGACATCAAGATTGGTTCCTCTTGAAATTAAATCTGACTGGAATGATGATTGTTGAGGTAAAAGTTGTTATAAAATAGTATTTTGAGGGAAAAAATATTTCTGCTCTTTCCATTCAATATTATTTTACCAATGAAACGTCGTCAAGTTAATAACAAAATGATAACATTTCATCTACTCAACTATCATTATCTTGATTAACATCAATTTTAAAAAGGAAAGTTGTTGACCCATGGTCAAGATAGTAGATAATTAACGCCAAATTTAAAGTAAAATCGAAACAAGTAAATGTTAATAAAAAAAGAGAAAGAAAATAGCAAATAATACAAAAAAAAACTTCATCACTTGAATCATTGATGAAAAGATGTGCAAAACAAATACTAGTTGTGATTGAAATCACGGGACAAAACAGAAGAGATTAAAAGATATGGAAGATAAATGATGAAAATAGATGATTACTGGGTTGGTCTGAGCTTCTTTGCCATCATTACTGAATAAAGTTGAGCAAGAAGTTACTCAGAATCCAATCAATGTCTTGAGTTGAATAAAAGAAGAAGCTGACTTTGGAAGAGAAATAAAAACAAATTACCTTTTCTTCTCATCATCATCATGAGCATCTTCACCATTATCATCCAACAACCAATGAAGAAGAGAAAACAAAAATTTCTCCAACATTGAGTTGACAATGAATTAACTCTCAATGTTACCTTTTTCTTACTAATTCATTATAAACTGTAGAATGCATTTTCGCATTTTCGCATTTTCTTCCCTCATCATCATCTTCAGATGATTGGCATTAAACTCAAGGAGAGAATATCAAGACTAACCTGGCCTCTTCAAGTTTAAGAAGCAGAGGCTACTAAGGTAGGGCCTAAAAGATCGCTTCAAACACCAACAAGCAAACAATATGTATGAAGGTTAAATGGCAAGTTTGGGTAAAAAAGGTGGATTCAAGAAGAAGATAAAGATGAAAGAAGGTCTTAAGCAACTTAAGAAGCTTCTCTTCTCTTACTTCTTTTCCCTTTCTCTATTATCTTCATAGATTCGGCCAAAGGTTATAATATATTAAACATCGATCCCCTTTAGCCCAGGCCTTACCTTCAAAAAGAACAAGAAATAACTGCAAGAGAAAAAATGATTTTCCAAAAACTAGTTTCGTCCAACATTTAATACTTACTTAGTTACTTAGCTTTTCATCTTCACCATCATCTTCATTTTCATCAGCATCTTCGCTAGGCTCTTCACTATCTAATTATTAAAGACTCTCTCTCTCTCCATTTCTCATCATCATCATCTGAAAATACCTTTCAGTGATTTAGTCTGTTTCACTTTACCTTGGCTAAATGATATAAAATATATATAATAATAATAACCATCAAGTTGAACAACAAAACCTTAAAACCTCCCAACGGGATTTTGATATAATTTTTGGCCTTTTTTCATTTCATAGTTTTTTATATTTTTTTCTGGTTACTTCAAGTTACCCAAATAGTGGTCAAGACTATGGAGAGAGAGACCATTAAAATTTTAAAGTCATGATATTAAGGCTACTGTTTTGGGAAATGCTTTTCATAATGTTTCTCCTAATGTCAATTAAAATTAGTTAATCATTACTGATTCACGATTGTTATCCACATTATTATCCACCATTAACCATTTATCTTTAAACCACAATTTTACTTCTAGTTTCTTTATATAATTAACTAACATATCGTATCATTTAATATTTAAATGCAGCCGAAACTTTTTCATTAAACTTGATTTAGTTTGTTTAGCCGCCACTTTTAAATTAATACTTTGTTACTAATTGAACAATAATGGTAAATGTTAATTTTGTGATTAAAATTGCAATGGGAAAACTAAATATTTCAAGATTCGTGAAATTAAATGCAAAAAGATTTGGCTTTACAATCAATTGGATTTAATTTAGTTTGCCTTTAAATTCAACACAGATTTTGAACAAATTGAATTACAGTTCATTGATTGTTGACTTGGATTAGAAGCTCATTTCAATTTTGATGTTGAAAGCGTTTTTTGAGTTTTTCAAAAATCTTTTCATTTTCCAATTGATTTTTAATGTTGAATGTCATGTCAAATGATTGAAAATTTAGTATTTAATTGCATAACACTGAACACGTATACAGGTGAACTTTGGATTCATCAGAATATATCAAAGATAAAAGATGAAAGATAAAAGCTCTTAAGATTCTTGATCAGATTTAGATTTTTTTCTCTCTTTTTTCTTCACTTATTCAGCTCAGAATATTGAGATTTTTTGAATATAATCCTTACTAAGCCTTGAATACCTTGATAACCTAATTAAGTAAAAATGTTTGACATCTCATTGATTAATTTACACATTTAATGGAACCCTTTTTTTGTCAAAATTTACCTCAAACTGGATTGGCAACAATTTACTCGGAAAGGTTTAAACAAGGAAACAAATACAAGTTAAAAATCAGTCAAAGTGTTCATATTGATCATCATAATCATCCTCATCATCACCCTGAATGAGCCATTAAACCAGCCTTTTCCCTGGCTTCATCCCTTGACCAGTAGGGACTCCTATCATCATTGAAATATCAACCTTGACATTGAACATTCAACACAAAAACTTGACTTTCAAGTGGTGCTAATTTCAAATTTTTTATCTTCTTTTTTTTCTGTCAAAAGATGAGGTTGATTTGGTGGATGATCAACATCATGGGTACAATCAAGTTAATTAGATGGGTCACTAAGCATGAAACTGATCAACAAATGTTCAGCTATTGATAAGGTTGGGAAAAAAAGATTTAATTTGAAAAAAGCTTCACCTAATTTTGACACAATAATTAAATAATTGTAACCAGACAAATTAATTGTAAAGCTATTTGTTAGCCAGTATTTTCTTGGATAATTCAATCTTCAAAGTCTGTCAGCTTTTATTGATCAAAAGTAATCTGGATTTGGGTTAATTTAGGTTATTTTTGATTAAACATTAATGTTCAATTATGGTGAAAAAATGACAAAAGTTGACTAAATCAAGGTGTAATTGATGTGCAAAAGTGACAAAAAAGGAAATCTGTTGATTGAATTTGATGGCAAAAAAAGATATTAGTTGATGATTTGATTGAGTGAGCATTGATTTAGACCTTACAAGAATTGTTATTGCGAAGTGATAATGAATTGGAAACAATTCAATCATATGATTATCCTTTTGTAGTCTGTGTATCAATATTGCAATCATTGAATGTAATAGTTAATTGTTTTAATGGTGTTCTCCTGATTTGTCAACTCTGTCAGATGATTTATATTCAATCAGTAGATGGGTTTAATGTATTTACCTGATAATGGTTAGTGATAGCATTTGATGGTAAAAAAATGGATATTGATTATTGAAAAAAGGCTTCAACTTGTAATAGATTGCAGAGTTTGCTGTTGATATGAAAAGATTTCATTTTTTGATTCAACCTTGTGAATTGAAACAATTGCTCAGAATGGTGAAGATAGTGTGAATAGTTTAACAAGTTTGTAAGATGGCTTTTGTTTGAACAAAAAGACAAAGCAAAAATGATTGAAAGATGATTGGAATGATTGAAGATGCAAATGAAAAGGCAAACAAGTGTTAGGATGGTGATAGAGTTAAGCTGGTTTACGGGGCTAATAAAGGTCATGGCACCAGGATTGATTTTCAGATCGCTTTAGACCCTGGTTTGGCTTTTTCAAAAAATACAACATTGCCATTTAAATGTATACAACAAGTATATTATATACCTTAAAGGGAATCTTAATAAGGGGAGTTTGAGATGAAAAAAAGGGGCCAAAGTTAAGAACAAGTTTCTTTCAAAATACTGATGATGAACCTTCTAATGGTAGACTATGGATTTGACAGGGGGATAAAGAAAGATGGAAAGAAATAGAAAAGAAAAGAACTGAGAAAATGAGAAACGGCATTTGCTTTATGGGCTAATGATAGCACGGGAATTTATGGAGTAAATTCAGATGAACCAAAATCATATTCATCTGGTTTGCTCTTGGATTCTGGTTTGATGAGGGTTACTGGTACTCACCATCACTTTGGGTTCCTTCAGAGCCATAATCACTGGTAACAATCATGTCTGATTCTTTACATGCTTCTGTTTTTGTTTTTGTTGTTTTTTTTCAGGTTCATGTTTTTATTCATGATGAAGAACGATGATAATGTTGATGGTAATGAAATGGGTGAAGTAATTTCAATTAATTGGTAATCCACAAAAACACAATCACATTGGATCACGGTGTCAAGATAGCAGATTATCAGGTGGTAGATCAGGATGAGATATAAAAAGAGAAGAAATAAGATGGATTAGCATTAATTAATATTGGCATGTGATTGGAATAGTTGGTTCAGAATTGCAAGTTCACAATGTATCTACAACGGTTTGCTGAATATTTCTTGAGTTACATTCTAATTGTAACAATTTGGGTTTGTCTGGTTCATCTGTTTAAACTGACTAAACTGACGTCTGATTTACTTGGCTAATGAAATAATTGTTATATCTAGGTATGAGAAATGTTGATAGAAATTTAAAGGAGAAAGTTGAACTCTATCAACAATGGCTCATCTTTGGTGGCTATTCTGTTTGTTTGATCATTTGCGATGTGATTTGCAATGATGAACTAATATTGCCAATCATGCGAAGTTTGGTGTAAATTGCTTGTTTAATTACTTTGTTCACTCAGTGTCTTCCAAATTTCAAGTTGAGCATAAAGAACATCACCACAATAAAGAGCTCGATTTTTGAAATCTTGTTCACTCAGGGAACACAATGTCATTCCGTCCATTTGAAAATAATGGAGAGGGAACATTGGAAGGCCAGATTGTTTGACTTGCCAGGATAGCCATGAAAGCACATCATTTACAGTCCAGGTGAATGGATCTAGAAATGGCAGAGAGAAAGAAAAGTTTGGATAAAGTTTAATATTAATATAAAGTCATTTTACAATCTTTGTTTGGATTTATTATAGATGGATGGAATTGTTGATCGAGATTAGAGATTTATCAACTCATTATATCAACGTTCACACTATTTTTACCATTTTCATATTGTTTGCTAAACTGTTTTGTTTGAAACTTCAGCTTCAAACGGCATTCTACTGGTCCATTTCTTATGGCAATACACTCAGCTCTCATATTTTCAAAGGCTTCTCATTCAAAGTCTGGTATTTCCAAGCTAATGAGCAATTTGCTGATAGTTATAAAAACTATGAATTTTCATGTTAACAAAAAACATTTCAGATCAATCGCCTTATTTGAAAATTATTGAGGATAAAAGAGAAACTATCATGAATTTGACAAGGAGCTGAGGAAGATCAAGGTGAAGCATCATCAAAATGAATTACTGGAGCACGAGGATATCATTTTGGTTGATTTTTATCGATGTTTGGATATAAAGTTTTGGTTTTCTATCTTCACCAGTAAAAGTCATCTTACAATCTTTGTTTGGATTTAGATGGATTGATTTGTTAGTGGGATTAGATATATTTACGCTAGCAGGATTCATTGGAAGTAGGATACAATGGGAATTGTTATTTACCTGGTGAAATGCCAAGATTGTCCGAGACTCGTTTAACTTCTTGATGGCAAGCTTGAAGAGCGAGGTTGGAAAATTCATCAATCTCTTTTGGCCACAATGATTCTAGAGGATCATAGGTCGATGATAGACAAGACGATGATGTTGATAAAGATGGACTTGGACAACCTGTGATCATTGATGATGATATGATTCCAGATGATAAAGGTGAAGATGATGTGATTGAAGAAATTATTGTCATACCATCAAGGGAAGTGTGACTGTTACAATTGTTAATGGTTGTTGAAAGGTTTGATGAAACTCCAGAGGATATCATATTGGATCCATTGATACTGTTAAGATTAACAGAGTTAAGAGTCCCGGGTAACATGTTTGGTTAAAAAGACGTTTTGACAATTTTACGGTAAATTGTTGGCAATTTGATATAACCGTTGTTCTTGGTGACCAAAAAATAAACAGTTAATTAATTTTCAACAGAAGAAACAAAGTAACACAAAAGAGATTTGATGATTTGTCGATCGCAACTGATAAACGGGCCCTCAAGTTTGCTTTTTATTGGTTAAGATAAAAACATGGAAAAATTAAACGAGAGAAAAGCTTTCCTGGCAAAATCACAAAATGTTGCTCTTTTTTTCTTAATATTGTGATGGTGATGTTGATTGTGCTCACAAACTCAACTCAACTTAAACTGGGTTTACAGGTACAGCAAACTTTGAGTATACCCCACAGGTAAGAGATGATGGAGGGAGAGAGAGATAGAGAGAGAGCCAGAAAAAGAGAGGGGAAAAGAAACAAAAAATCCGCCCTTGCTTTGATAGTCAATAGAGACCTGTTGATCGTCTGATATCTCTCTTTCTCTCTCTCTCTTTCTTTCCCTCTAACTTCTTCTTTCTTTTTCCCTCTGTCTTCCCTCTTTTCCTTTATTACCTGTCTTTTTGCTTTACACAAATGATGATATTGAATAACTCCGCCTGTAAAAGTGACTAGATTTAAAAACAAGTGGCTATTGAAACGAACTACTAAGGGAGTGGACCTTAACTTTGAATATATTCATTATCATCTCTCTCTCACTATGAAAATCTTCGTCTGTTCCTTTTCTCAATCGACTCGAATCAAAATATTTTCATCTTAATCATCTTCCCTCTTACCCTTGTTTTTCATCTTTTCATATTTCGCTCATTTTTTCTTGTTTTCAGATTTTAATGGGACATTATATTTCATTACACTTCATTTTATTCAATGATAAAGTTAGAAACATGGCAAATGGATCAAATTGATTACATTGTAATTGTAAAAATTAACTCATGTTTCTGTCACAAAAGAATAGCCTAATATGCATTTAGGTTTGAAACCAGAAAAACAAATGATAGACTACTATCATTTGAGCCATCTAAATCGCTTGAATAGCATTTGTGAGGCATCGAAATCATATTCAACATATTTGTCAAGAAATTCTGAGCAATGTCAACCTTTTCACTATTTTTACCGATTTGCATTCACTGTAAACTTCAGATTAAAATTGGTCTTCTGCTGGTCTTATTTTAGCCATGCTAATCATGTTGATGTACATTCATCTGGTGACATTTTTTTGACAACTTTGCTGTGATTATTAGTTTCTTTGATTACATTTAATCAATTGAAAGCAATTTTGACAAGCGAAATGTATTGAGAGAAACTTGGTTCAATAGCAAGTCAACATATGATACCGGTAATGTGAACATCAAGCTTCACTTCATTGTTGGTAAAAATGATTGTCGTATTCCAATCGATTATCGTGAAGACGAATATAGCTGTATGGAATGGGTCTACAATGAAACGGAAGATTGTAAAACAAACGTGCTCAGTCATGACACTGAATCAATTTCTTATGGCAATACTTTCAGCTCTCATATTTTCAAAGGCTTCTCATTCAAAGTAAATTCTGGTATTCCCAAATAATTTTCAATGTTTAACCAATTTTTATTTCTTTCTAATTTTAGGTCCACCAAGCCATTGGCTGTGATATTATTATATTGAAAAATGTTCTGACCCAGGTAAAATTCAGAAAATCTTATGTGTTGATCGATTTCTAAGCAAAATCAAAATGACTACGGATTCAACTATCATGAGTTGAAATGGAGCCAAGGAAGATCAAGGTGAAGCTTGAAAATGAATTACTTGAACACGGGGATATTTTTTGATTGATTTTATCGATGTTTATTTTATTACAATATTATATTTATTATATTTATTATAATAATTGTGGATAAACATTGTCACAGATAAATTGAAACGATTTAAGAAACTGCTTCTCAAACTTTTGTATATTAATATACATCATTCAATTAATTGATTTGGCTTATTATTGGTAAAATAGAAAAACTTGAATTAAATTCATTTGCTTGAAACTTTTGGGAAACATTATCAATGTCACCTCAATCTTCACCATCAGTGCAATTTTCATTATCATCATTTTCATCATCTTTGCTTAATGATTTCATCTCCTTTTTGTTTACTTTTTCATTTCTTTTTATTTGAAATGTTTGCTCGATATTTCAATTTCAAATGTTCAACTGTCCTCATCAATTGGCATAAATGATCATTAATGTATCGCAATTCATCATAAACTAATGAACAAAGGGCTGAAAAGATGCACCAAGTGATTCACAATAAACATTGTACATAATGAAAGTGTTTCGCTTTTCATTGAGATACTTTGGCCTAATTTATTTGTTATCATTGACATTCATCCTAATTTTGAAAGATTACTTTTATTAATCTTATTTTTGTCTTTTTTGTCCTTTTTTTCATTCATTTATATCCTTAAACTTGAAGTTCCAAACCAATGGTTTGAGGTCAGCTGATCAACAGAACTCTGAAAACATCCGATGGCTGTCACAATATAATCATCTAAAGTAAATCTATTGATGACAGAATAAAATTTTCCTATTTTTAATCAATATTGAAATGCTAATTTTTGCACATTTGCCCAGTTTTAAGGATCATTTATCCACAGTTATGTCTACCAAAACTTAAGCAGCACATTAAAAGCGGACGTTTTTACCTCAATTCCTGGTAATTTTTACTTACGAATGGTTCATTTAGAAAACGACCAGAAAAATTTTTGATTCATTTTCAAGCACAGGGCTATAATGCGAGCGACTACGTAGTCGTTAGTTTGTAAGTACAGAAAAGTCTATGAACTTGCAACTAATTAATGGATGTGTAGGTTAAGGCCGAAATTTGATAATTTGAGGAAACAGAAATTTCGCCTGATTTGCATTTCAGTGACTTTCTTATCCTTTGAGATGGTCCACTTCTCGTCATCGTTTAGGCACAATATGCTCAAGTATGTCAGATTTCTTTGCCCTCACTTTCCGTTCGAGCTTGGCAAGTATCACTGGAGTTTTAGCGACAATGTTGTTCCTGTCCTGCTTTAATCTATGAAATTAGTCCTGAGCTGTCGGAAACTCTGTTTCTCCATCGTCTTGATGATGATGACGATGGAGCTGAATCAGAGTGATTTTTGAAACTTATACTTTCAGGCTTGCTTGACTTGAGACTCTTGAGACAAAGTTTATTGATTAATCAAGCTCGTAAGCATTGTACCATAGTCGATGTTATCTACTTTCAACATGTTGTCAAGATTTAAGATTTGCTCAAGATACTTTGATTTGAATTTGGTTAAATACCGGGCGTTTTTTCATTTCACGCCTTAATGCGGGCATTACTGTTAGTTCTACAGACCTCAGACTTGAACGATGAGATTATGCAGATTGCACAGCCATAAGTTCGAACGCTCAGGGTCAATTCATTATTTGACCTCTAATTGACATTGGAAGGTCATTTTCTGAAATCGCAAAATTTTTCTGACCCGATTATGTTAGTTATATGTTCATTGCAAAATCACCTTCCAATGTCAGTTAGAGGTCAAATAATGAATTGACTTGGCTAAAACTCGGAGCTTGACTCCGACTTGACTAAAACATAGCTGAGCGTTAGAGCTTTTCCTAACTTCCTTTACAATGAACAAAAGTCAACCAAAATAAACATTGATTTACCAACAAATGACATGAACTATTTAATAATTGAAAAGATTATTGGTTTGATAGACGACTTATTAAACAGTGACATTGAGTCTTTTCTTTAATCAACAAAAATTACTCAAAAATCAGCCCTGAATCTACTAACACTGATTTCTTGCTCTTGTGAGAAACCAACTAATAGAGAAATTGACTTATTCGCCATCCCATACTTTGATACAAATTTTTCATTTAGAATGCTTGAATCAAATGCCAAAGAAATAGAAATGGATCATCCAACGGGAATATTAAACATCATTATTGGGCTTACAATAAGCCTATCTGTATAACAAATGAAAATGTATTTAAATTGAAAGAACTAGCTGTTAAAATGTCCATCACTGACCTGTTCGAAAAGTGTGAATCTTTTGTCGCGTCGGGTTCTAATGATTATATTAAATACGAGGCAAGTACTTGTTCACCAACCAGGTATATGGATGATAAATTTAGCGATTTTAAAATATACAACACGATAAAAAGTATATCAAGTCCATAAGATTATATTGTACTCGGCCATTCCATATTTTTATGAGCGTTTACCGAGTCCGAATCTGAAATGGAAAAGAGGTCAGGAAGACAAAAGTATGAGACTAGGTGTTGATACGGAAACATTGGACATCATAATGGATTACGCTTATAATAGGCAAATTTGTATATCAAATAAAAATGTTTATGCTTTGGAGATTACAGCTGAATTCATGGATATATCTGATTTGCAGAATGAGTGCACCAAATTTATACAAAACTTTTCATGCTGTTTCGATTCTGATTGAGATTGTTTAAATTTATTTGTCTCTGTTTTTCATTTTTCTGTTCAAACAACTTTGATTTTGAACACTTTCAATAAAAATTTTATGAATAATGTTGATTTCTAGTAGATGATCTAACTTTGTGAGTAAAAAATCATTGTTGAGTTAATTAATATAAATAAATTTCAACAATATGAATTAAAAAGTTATTAATCTTTGACTAAATTTGATTTCTGCGCGATTTCTTGATTGCCTCCTCTTAACATCAGTTTATATTACTCTTTGGGATTTACTGTAGCTGAAAGTGATTTTATAATAATAGTTGAAACGATTTTTGTCTTTATTATTCAGGTCCTCCGATGTCCAGTGATGAGCCCTTAGTAAGGGTTTTTGTTGCCTCTATCTTCTAATAAGATGAACACAAAAATTATTTCAGTTTGTGCTGATAAAGAGCAATTTCTTTCACGGGTTAAATGCTCTTTTGGCGTCGATACTGGTACCGATAGAGATCTAATTGGGCTATCTCATCGTAGTTTGTTTTCTTCTTTTAATGTCAAATCTTTATCGAGGATTTACTTGGTGGTATGCCTTCAACTTTTTTTTATCGACGGAATAATTGTTTAATGTTTTGACTCTTTTCGGAACATGGTTTTTAGTATATCGACTTGACATATCGAAGCTTTTAGATTTTAGTATATCTTTAGCATGCTAAGTTTTTTTGGCAATCAATTAAACCTACTATAATGAGAGAATCGTTCTCGAAGCATCGTCATCATCATCCGGAGATTGAGAAATTGAGTTGCCGACAGTTTTCTCATAGAACAGGATGAGTCTCATAGATAGTAGTGACATGGTAAATTTACCGAAAATTTTCATCATATTTTGTCAGTATTCAAGATGTGACTTCTTTTTTCGTTTTGTTTTTAATTGATCAAGTAGTTTCACAATCAGATCAAGTGAAACTTTAGGATGGGCTAGTGATTACTTTATATAAAGGTGAATTCACAGCGGCCCGACGATCGCGGTGGATGCCTCAACTTATGTGCGTTGGTGGAACTGATTTCTTCGGAAACCCACCACCATATAATAATGGAAGTGAACCTTCGTATGGACCAGCAACTCGTGCAAGAGATGGTCTTGGGTTCAGGAACAAGATTTCGTTAAAATTCCAGTTATGTCCGAGCTTGAGAGAAAAAGAAGGTGAAGAAATCTGTCATTCTGAATCTTGGACCGATTCGACTATTGTTCTTTTCGCTTTAAAATGAGCTAATCATGATTAGAGGTTGAATAACAGATTGGACTTAAGTGACCTTGAAATTCGAACAGTCAAAATGAATGTCACCTGAATCATGACTCGATTTTTGAGTCAAAAACTCTTCTAGTTAGGAAGTTATTCACTGTAACGTAAATTGAAGTAAATTCACTGAAATTCCCGGAGTAAGTAAGATGCCAAATTTTGCAATTAGTGTTCAGATAAATTCAGGTTTTTGGTTTATTTTTTTTTGCCAATTGTTTATCATTGATCAAGATATAAAATTCATTGAACACACTCTGTAATTGGAAAAAGTAATTTAATGCTTCAATTTTTAGACAAAACATTCTCTAATAACTCCCTAGATGGCGGGCTTAGTCAAATAATGTTACGCTTTGGGAATTAACGCAAATTGAATTTCAAAACTCGCGCTCGATGTGAATTTTTCTTTACAGCTGTTCAAATTCGAGAAGAACGGACAATTGTAACCAAAGTTACCTTTTTCGAGATCGTTAGGCTATTTGATTTACACTTGTTTTATTTTGGATTAGAGATGGGCGATTCTCGATTAATCAGGTAATCGATATTTTTAGCGATTCGCGCAAGGGAATCGATTATATCGATGCTTAATCAAGGTAGGAAAATATTAAATCTTCAAGCATTAAACAAAATTTTCCAAGTTTGAGGCTCTTCTTTACATCAATAAAGTACAAATTAGTCTTTTGAATTGCACTGAAATCACTGGAAGAGTCAAGTATTTTAATTCTGAGTTGCTAAAATCATGCAGATTTCCCTTTTATTTTTTTCTGCAAACATGGAATCGCAAAATTCGTAAATTTTTAGCTCATGTGAAGCTTATCGATTCTCACAAGAACTAATCGATGCTCATTTTCTGAAAAAGAATCGATCCGTATCGATATAATCGAGGTAATCGCCCATCTCTATTTTGGATAATTTGGGTGAGATATTATATCCATTTAAAAGGTAAGCGATAATTTTTGCCGTAGTGTTTCTTATTCAATTGTGCGAGTTTCTTGCTTTGCCAAAAACATTTGTGATTGTATTATTAATGCTCAGGTCTTTTTTTATATTTTGTTTCAGACTTGACCAGACTAGAATGTATCTTTCATCAAGACATAAACTCACCGGAAAATTTTTACAAGAAGGAAACAGAACAAACAGCATAAAAAATGTGGCTTAGACAATGACTGATGAGAATATGTTTAAGAGAAGCAATTTTTCATCTTGCCATCATCATGATAGAATATCTTCAATGATAACCCGATTAACCAACCTCGAATGTTCAATCTATACAACTCTATGCTTGGTTAGTAATTGACAAAGTTTATGAGGTACCATAGAGTTGATGTACTGGAAAACTTGGGTGCTCATTGATAATTCTTGCTCATTTACTACTAGTGCTTCTTCATTTTGGTAACTGCTTCAAGTTTTGGTAACTTATGTATCAAAAAAATCATCTTTCGACTTCAACTAGCTACTATTTTTTATTGCAAACATCAAAGATATTAATGCTGGAAGAAAAATCAATCATTCTGATGGATGAAAGCGAGAACTGACTCCATTCCAAGTCTACATAAATGATACTTTCTACACAATTAACTAACTGAGCGACTTCATACATGTGGTTTAAAGACAAAAGGCTTCAAAACTGAAATGAGCAGTTACTACAAAATGTTTTATAAAAGCAATCTAATGTTGATAGGTTTATTTATTAAGACAAATCATCATGAATTTAAGGAGAATTGGAAATAATCAAAGCAACTCAAGACGAAAGTTGAAATAAGGCTATTATCTGATCTCTAATGGCAAATCTTTTAGCCTGATTAACCGTATTTTCCGTACAAATAGAGGCTTAATCTCTGGTATCTCGGCAAAGCATTAATTTGTCTGCACCGAGTCATCATCAACTGAGATAGATTGAAATTATCGAAGAAATATTGTCCTAATTAGTCGTTGATTCCTCTAAATGAAAGCTACTTGATAATCGAAGCTTTTAAATACATTGTAATCAATCTTACCTCATATTAACGTTTAGCTTTCAAAAAGATCAGACAAATTTGGCCAATTCAATTGTTTTAAATTGATCTTCATCAATCTTGAAAAGAAAGACGAATCTTGCCTCTTTGACAACTCATTCAACTACTTTTACAGCTTTTCCTTAAATAATCTAATTAAGATCATTTTCAGCTGACCATTAATCTAAATTTTCGGACTTTCTCCGCTTTTCAACATCTTGTAAAGATCATTATTCAAGTCTTCAATTTAATTTCAGGCTATTGTTACATGTATTTAAATAGATCTGAAAGATTTTATTGTTCAATTTCTGTCAAGGCTGTTAATTGCAGCCATTCAATTACTGATTACCAGCATTGGATTGTTTTACAAACTGATTTATTCGTTTATTTTTTACTCTTTTACTCGAAAATTTATTTTGATTTTCATGCTTCTTTATTTTCTCTATGCATATCATTGTTACAATTTTTGGTAAATTACTAGCAAATTTAATCAGCTAATAATAAAATAGTATAAATAATCATTATTAAATAGATGATAATAAATGATGATATTGACGGTACAATATTGAGTTTAGTCTTTTGATTTTTGTCCATATTCTGTTGACCACCTTGTCCACCGGTTCTTATTGATATGATGAAAAAATGTAAATCTCAAAAACTGATCTAACATATTAACTCTTTGAGTAAAATGAATGTTTCCATAATTATATTCATTTTAGAGTTGAATAGTTGCTCAATGTTTAAAGTCAATTTGGACAGGCAACAAAATCAACGTTCCAGTTAAAAGTTGCTGTACAAGTAATTGTATGAAATTTGACCAGAATTTAAAATGAGTTTAAAAATATATCCAAAGCAAAGAGGTGATTATTGTCTTTTAGGAATCCACAATTCAACATTGATTAAAAATCTCTTTCCATCAAACATTTGTTATAAATTTTAATGATTAAGGGTCCACGAAAGAGACCATGATATAACGAGTTCCACTTGTAACTGTAAGTCCTTCATGGTAGTGCGTCAGTTTACCGGGATGCATCAAAGTCCAGCCTTGCCTCAAACTGACAACACTACAATTGTACCGGACAAATCGACATCCACCTCCCTATCAACAAAAAAGAAACAATTATTAGAGAAATGAACATTACGATCGATGTAAAGAATATTGTTCAAAATCTAACCTCATAATCAATACCAACACGATTGAGAGCAATGTTAATGGTATAAGTTGATGTATCATGGTGAGGTTTGAGGAAAGCTTGTTCAGTTGGTTTGTATCGTACAATGAAGTTCATGGTTGCTTTGGGTGGCTATAAGAAATAGAGAGAAAAGAAAAATTAATTTAATTCTGATCGATAACTGATTATTTATGAGCCTTACATCGTGGAAGTAGCCAATAAATACTTTCTCCTGGACTGGTCTTACATATTCACGGAGAAAGTAAAGCCATTGTTGCTCGAGTCCAACTTGATTAGTGTGGATATCAACCGTTGGTACACTTTCATATCCACCGTTAAGCCTTGGATCCTAATGAGAGGAAGACAAAAATGATTACAATGAAGATGATGCAAGTTATAATTATTGTTTCGATAAATCAAGTTGACTGTTAAGTGAATAAAGTGATTAAGATATAATTTGATTAGATTGACGATCAATCAGATGTTAAATCAGGCAAACTCTTGAATGAATGTTTTTTTATATAAATATTGCTTGTAAAAAGTGCCTTTCCTATGAATAAAAGGATGATGATGAATAATAAGGAGGGAAAATGATAGTAAGTGAAAAAGTAAGGGAGGAAGGAGGAGGAGGAAAATGAGCAGAGGAAATAAAAAGGAAACAGAAATGATGAGAAAAGAGAAAACATTAAGAGAAAAGGAAAAAATATTAAGCTTTAAAAGTTGGAGGTGAAACGGAAAAGTTGAAAGAAATTCTGGTAAAGCTATAAACGATGAAAAGAAAGTTGAAGATGGAAAAGGGTTCCATTGATTTAGATAAGAAAAGAATTGAGCAGAGAAATCTTTCAACCATGTTTAGGTACTTCCTTAGAAAGAACCATCATCATCATCTGGGTTGCATATAAATTCATCTAACAGTTAGACAACAGTTTTGTATTCAATTAAAGAGAGAAAAGAGATTGAACATTTTTTCTTATGGTGATGAGGATGCAAAGAGACATAAAGTCCATAATTCTCGATCTAAATTCTTAAGTGATATTCATATGTTGCTGGCTAAATAATTTGTTTCAATGTATATTAATTTACAATTAGTTTCAAGGAATGAGCTTAAAGAGATGAAGATAGAGCAACAGACAATCAAAGCAGTTTATCGATGAGAGATGAAAATTTTCGGTCTTCACCAAGTTCAGCTAATTCATGGCTACATAAACCTTAGATGACCTGACTTGTCCAGAAATAATATAATTGGAATGGAAACTAGTCTAAATAAAATTCATTAGATTGATAGAGGAAAATATTGATTTGATGTTGAGGTAAAGGGAAATTTTTTAAGGTTAGAGTTAATTTTCATGGCGTTTTCCATTGAGTAAGCATAAAGAAGTGATTTTGGGTATTTTATGACTAACAGTCTTGAAAGGTTTTCTCGTTAGCTTTAGCAAATAAATGATGGATAACTGATTACAAAAACAGTTACTATTTTTTCTGATCTATTTTCATCTGGTTAAGTAATTGCTGATAGGGATGGCTTGAAGATGAAGAGACTTGAATAGTGTAAACAACAGATTGATCAATGTAAAGCCAGACGTTATTGTGTATGTTTTTATGTCTCTCCTGATGTCTAAAAGATTGGTAATGAGCTTAAATTTTAACGAACAATTACCCATGTAATTAATCCATCCTCTGCAATGACTATCATGACAATCTTTCTTCAAACACAGCTTTTCTCATAATCACCATCTTCAACTATAACAGAATTAATTGATGAATAATTTGATTCAATTACATACATAATTTGATCCATCTGACCATTGGCCATAATTTTCCATCTCTTCAATCAAATGTTTACAGAAGGTTGGAGTGACAATTGGAAACCAGTAAACATCAGGACAGGGTTGTTCAATTATATGGTCTTCCTTCAAAACTGCAGAATAATTTGGATGAATATATTTTTCAGCCCATTCATATTGGTTGTTGTAAATTTCGTATAAATCATTATGCAAATGGCTGGTTTCAAAAGGTTCAGAATTAACCAGATGACCGTAATCCTCTATATTGGAGACGTAAATGAAAATTCCTTGTGACCGAAGGCTGGCAGAGAAAGCCATGTCTGTATCCATGGAAGGATCTTTATCATTCCTATAAGATGGATAATAACTTTTGACCTTTTCTCCAATTTTCTTTGTTCCGACCTCATCTGGAGTGTCTCCTTTCTTGTTTATCGGTGCATCAACCATATTGGCTTCATCTGATTCAGATTCAGTTAATCCAGCTAAACCTTCCTTCAATACGGTTCCATTGATCAGGTAACAATCGGTTATGTGTGGTACATTCCAAATGCCTCTGTGAAAATAAAATGAAACATTAGTTCATTTAATCAAGTGAATCAGCTTGATGAAAAGGCCAATCTGGCTAATCTTCAACAACAGTAATAAGACTTTTCTGATTTATTGTGGACAAAAAGTTGATCATGATAACGGAAATGGACAATTTCAACAAAGTATTCTCGTTTAATCATTGATATGAAACCAGGGTATAAATCTGATGAAGCTTGTCCAGAAATATTTCGCTTGATGGCAACTTTTTTCATCATCATTAAACAGCAACATTGACAAAGATGAATAAAGATAAAATTGAATGGACATTTATATAAGAATTGTTTGTTTTTTTGTTTGTTTTCTTGCAAACTCAATCACAATTTGATTTGAAAGATTGAGCTTGTTGACACAGAAAATATCTGATATGATCGTCAATAGGAACATAAATGTCAATGAAAGTAATGAATTAATGCAAAAATTGTAACCAAAAATCCTTTCAATTGACCAAAGTAATCTGGTTTGGTCGATATAAAAGGGTCATCTTTGTACATCTTTTTGGAAATGGGAAGACACAAATATCTAGCAAAAATAATGATAACAATGATAATAATAATGGTAATGGCAAAATATATATATTATATCAAATTGATTTTGTACGGTTAATTTCAACCTCTACCCAAACTTTTATCTGTTGATAAATTTTATGATAATTGAGTTATTTCAACATTTTCATCTCTTTGTGGATAGTTTATTACCATTTTTTTGTTAGATTTTCATCTGAAAAAGATGAGACATTTACATCTCAAAGATATCAGAATGATATTTTGCTTTTCACCAATTCAAATGTACAAAACTGACAGCAAAATGAAGAGTAAAGGGAAGCAAGAACTTGTTAATATTTTTCCTTCCCTATCAATAGAGATATTCACATTCCAATGAAGTATTTGATTGTTAATAATAATGTTGATAATAAAATGAATGCATTTCAAATGAATAAAGATGAAATTAAGACTAAGAAGTTGATGGAAATGGTTGAAACTCATGAAATAATGGATATTTCACTTGATTATTGTTACTTTTTTATGCTTGCTTATGATTTTAAAGATGATAATAAATGAGTGAAAATTTTGAAAAAATAACAAAATAGAGTAAAAAAGTGGTTACAAGTAACTGTCACTTGAATTGTATACATTTGATCATTATTTGTATGGTTATCACATCAAGTTATATTTCAATTCATTTTATTGCCATTGATATGAAAAAATGTCAACAAGGTTGATTAACTATTAATATTTAAGTTGATGGAAATGGCAAGTAAACTTTTAAACAAAAGATTCTGGAGTAATAGCAATGAATGAATTATTGGATAGGAAATGAAAAGACAAATGATAAAAGTGAATTACTTGAAGATAGGATCTTTTTCCAGGATTGAAGTAATAATATTGTTGATAAATAACCATAAATAATGTGAAAAAGTTGCAAGGAAAGTGATGAAAAGAGTTGATACAATTAAAAGGAGTAAAAGAGGGTTGAAATGATGGAGTTAAACATGCATCAAAGACAAATTAAGAAGAGTAAAGTGAATATAAAAGCTAACTGAGAATTGCTGAAAGAAAAGGGTAAAATAATGAATCCTTTTATTTTTGGATAAATTGTAACAAAAGGATTACAAAGGAAAGTCAATGGTTTACAAATAATGTTTTACAATTGAGAGTAATCTAATCAAATAATAGGTTGAGATTGTTGGGGTTCAGTTGAAACTGGGAATCACTTGATGTTATTAAATTGTCTGTTTGAACGGTCCTTTCAAAGTTTATTGTAAACCATATTGGCCACAATGTTGAAGGGAAACATTACATTTCATTGTAACTCAAGGACTGGGTGATAAGTATTTTAACTTGCACTATTATCATTGATTAAGAGAGTCAGAGTGATGGGTGTCTCCATGAGTGGGGTTGGAAATGTTTTCAACAATTAGTTGATTATTATGGAGGAAAGTAATAGCTGTTAGTTTTACCTTAACTCTATCATTAGATAATGTGTAATGGATACAACATGCTGTGCTCTCGATTATTATTAATAACTCAAACTGGATTGACAATGGTTTTCATTATCTTATCCATTATAACCCTTGAAACTAAATCAGCAAGTCGTGGTCGAAGTAAAATGCGTAAATATAATTCACCTCGGATTATTCATTATACTAGTTCAAAAAGAAAGGATTATTATGATCATCCAGACGTAAGTTGAACAATTAATCTTAATTTATAATCATTTCTCTAGTAATTTTAACTTTCATGATAAAGTTATGGTAATGGTTTAAAGTGTAATAATTTTGGGTAATATTGATACTTTGTAATGAAATGGATTTGCAAAGTCAATTGTATGGGATTGTTTCAATTGTAACAAATGTTAAAGGAAACAAGTAAAAAGGATTGATGAGTATAAATTGACAGTTTGATATGAATGGAGACGAGAAAATATATTCAAATGCTAATCAAGGGAATGACAGTAACCCAGGGAATTTACTATATCTGGTCATTTCCTTTTTGTTAGCAAAGGGTCAGCTTTTGGTTCTCAGTTTAGACTGTGCATAATCTAAGCTGACCATGATTGACATGCTAATGGTTTCATCTTTAACAGGATTATGCTTTTTATGTAAAATCAAATCAAATCAAAAATCAAAGCACCAACCTTCACAGTGTAACAATATTTAACAATAAAATTGGTTGTTAACCAAATGATAAACAATTGAGTTAAAAAGCGAATTAAATGTTGATCTATAAATAGTAATCAGATGATCGAGATTCATCAGTATTTGATGATTTTCTGGTGATTGGCTCATCGATATTGAATGGATAAGTAATGACCATAAATTGTATCTGATTATCATTATGTTAAAATAACTATTTTTTGTTGCTCTTGATTACAATTAATATGAACAAGACTATTCAGATTGTATAGGTTGATGTTTGATATGAACACGAACAAAAAAAGTTAAGGATAAGATGAATGATGAAGAGGCATTGATGAAGGTTGGACAAAATTGAGATATTGGACATTAAAGTGGACAAGATTAGCAGCATTAAGGAAGAGATATAATTTTGTGACAAATCAATCAACAATGTTGGATATTCAGTGAGACAAGGTTCATTGATTGAGCCCAATGAATAAATAAAGAAGATGGAAAGATGATGAAGGGAGAGATGAGGAAATGAGTGGTCATCAAAGATCAATTTTCTATTGACTCTCATGATAATCATTGTTTACATGTTTTCCTTACTTTTTCATTCTCTCCTTACCCTTTCCTTTCCCCATCAAATTCACTGGCAATCATATTAATTTACAAAGGGAGCCAATATACTGAAAGCATCTCATTTTGACTATGAATATTTTCTTGGCCATAAAATCAAGCTTATCTGTGTCGCAAAAGGAGATCCAGTTCCGAGGATAACTTGGTTCAAGGATGGAGTTGAGATTATTTCACATCCCTTTATGCAGGTAAAACTGAATCATTACTGAATGATAAAATATAACAAAATTTGAATCAAAACTGAGCAACAAATGAGATACAAATTCAAAGATTGGAGGAAATTGTGAAGTTAAATTGAATATAATGGAGATTTGCTCAATTTGTATTATTGCTCTAAGAGATTGTTACTTGTAAGCAACTTTTTGATTTTGTCTTTTTTTTGATTGTTGATTGTGTTCAAGATGATTAAGGATGATCGAGAGGAAGTCACAGGGAAAGAGGGGAACATTCAGGAAGAGATGATGAAAGTGGATGAACGATGGGAGGAGGAAGAGCAAAGCTGACTAGATTAACACGGACCATTTGAGGCGAATGTTTTGAAAGTGAAATTTAATCAAGCGCAATGAATAAAAAATATGCTTTAGCTTGGCTTTTAAAATAACAACAAGCTACAAAAGACAAGCGAAGGAAGATCATCATCTGATGCTTTTTTCACTGTTTTTTCCTATTGTATTCAGAGTAGTTTTTTTGTGAGTTTATGAGTGTACATGAGTATGATTATGAATTATTGAAGTGATGTTGTGCGTTCAAGATGAAGAGGTGAACAAGGGAGAGGAAGTGATGATAATGTAAAACAATAAATCGTCTATTGACGTAAATGCAATAATATAATTATACTAATTTGCGTCAATAAGACGTTGGTAGATTTTAGATTAGATTTTCGAAATACCAATTTGATAAATTCTAAGTATTTAAACCTAGGTAAATCATGTATTTAACTCACTCTCTAAGTCAACTGTAACCTGTTCAGAACTCATTGTCAAAGTTCAGACAAAGCAACAAACCATCTTTAAACACAAATCATCTTATGTATTGAATAACCCCGTCGTCATTTCTCTTCATTTGGTGGCCATTATGAGGGGTGTCCTCATTGTCTGAGCTCACCCTCTTTGTGTACCTGATCAGTCCAGTCCTTCGACCGCTGACCAGTCCAGTCCAGTCCATTGACCGCTGTTTGACCGCTGACCACTGTCCAGTCCATTTGACCGCTGACCAGTCCTGCTGACCATTGTCCAGTCCAGTCCAGTCCATTTGACCGCTGACCAGTCCTGCTGACCATTGTCCAGTCCAGTCTTTCGACCGCTGACCATTGTCCAGTCCAGTCTTTCGACCGCTGACCATTGTCCAGTCCAGACCATCGACCGCTGACCACTGTCCAGTCCACTCTTTTCCAAATTGATTTACTTTTGCCAGCATCCTTACCCATTTCTTTCCTAAAATTCTATTCTTCACAGCACCGTTTGATCATTGTCTGATCTTCGGTTTTCTCGTCAGGGAATTAGTAAAATTCATTACTTGATTATTGCCTATTGGAGTCAATAGACCAATAATCGATTTGTGGTTATTCATTATGACTACAAATCCTATTTTAGGCACTCAAAGCCCCATTTTTGTTAATTCAGTCTCAGGGAACCAAAATATCAATATCACCATCCAACCATTCAGTGGGGATGGAGATGAGGATATTTTAGATTGGTTCGCTGACTTTGAAT